AGTTATCATACTGTGTAGTGACTGCTTATTAACGCATCAATTTCCTCTGCCAAATGGTGAGCCCCCTGGAGAGAGACTATGTCTTATATACAGTCATTTCCAAGGTGCTATTTGATCAGTGTCCGTTGTGATTAATTGGTGCCCATAGTGCCAGTGGTTAATATTTAAAATATGACCATTAGCTGTAACTACACCACTGAGAATGATGCCTGACATTTAGTAGGAACGGAAAACCCAACGAATGAATGGCTTCGCAAACTGGACTGGCTCTTGCTTTGAGTGTACATTTATGGAATGTGCCACTCTCTTACAAAAACAGAGAAAAACATAACTAAGAAGTTAATCGACTTTAGAAAGCATAATTAATATTTTAAGGCAAAGAGAAATATAAGTTATTCTCATCCCTTTTTAGATTATCACTAGCCTAAGCCTCCTCATAGGCAATCAGTAGGTAGTGGCACACCAATGGGAACTATTTTCTCATATGTAGATACACATATATATAATATTATATAGTAAAAATAAAGTTGTGCACAAACACTTTCTGGGCTCACTAGTATAATTTATATACATATATAGAGAGGGAGAATTTTAGGAATCAGTAGTATATTTGATAATAGGATGGAAAAGATTTTTGGATGCATTAAGATGAATTATGAATTTATCTACTTCAATAAGTAAACTTGACAGTTGGTCACTCCCTAGTAAAATTATTTAAATTGCTTGGCAATCCACATGTAACTCTCCTAAGTGATGTTAAATTCAACAAGTACTGATTATCTTCTGTTTGCAAAGTAGCTGTTATGAGTCTAAACTTTAGTGTCCTATAGTTTTTGTATAAAAATGGCTAATAATAATGAATATCCTAAATATTGAAAAATTCTGCATTCTAAAACACACTTGACCTCAAGGATTTTAGCAAAATCCTGGTGGATCTGTCTTGTGTATGTAACCTAGACCAATCAGCTTCCTCCCTCTAGCCTCAATCAACAATGGCTCACCACGGTTCAATCTCCATCAAATCTTATCCTATTCCACTCCCTATAGGCCCTCTTTTCCTCCAGGTCAACAACTTTGCTAAACTAGATAAACTCATTGATGCTAATACATTCCTTGGGCATTATTAATTGCCAACGCTCTGCTGATATATGCAGAATACAATAGCTGACTTATTAGGAAAAAAATTGTCTGAAACCAATGGAGTGGTGAGGCTTAAGGTGGTGGGTTTAAGCTAGAGAGAGCACGGACATGCCATTGACCAACAGAAACTATTTTGAAGAAACCCATGTTTTAAGGTGCATCAAAATATAAACTCCCTGTCTTTTGCCCATACTTCCAGCTGTGCCTGATGGTAACCTTATTGACACAGGAGTTGTAATATTTCACATGGTATTATTTCTAGCTAAGTTCTTATTTCCTATTGTTTCATTGGCATTTCCTATTTAGATTCTTACTCTAATTTCTGGTACTTTCCTTACAGTGGTGAATCTTTCTCAGCTTTTACATTACACCCAAATGCTTTCAACCAACCTGCTAACATTGGCTACTGCTTTTCTTCTTCATACTGTATTTAATTTTTTTCCTAACCATGACTGCCGTGTGGCAGTGCTCAGGCTCTTCTCCTGCCAGTAGCTAGCAATTTTTCATTTCCACCCACTTCCATTAGTGACAGCTCATTCCTAATTTAGAGAATTAAGAGCTCTGCAATCAGAATGAGCTTTGTACTTTCACCTTAGAAGAAAGGGGAACGGGGCCAGGAAATCGCTGTAATGATGTGAATATTCTAGCACAGTTTTGCACTCTGCTTCTTTTCTCTCTTTGAAACTTCTCATCCCATAAATAATTTATCACAGAACCTTTGGACATCAATTACTGAGACTCAGCATTTTTCCAGGACCGTATTACAATATGCAGTACGACTGCGGAAGTTTGACTTTGGATATTGATTCAGAATTATGTCTTTGAATAATCTGAATGCAATTTAAAATTTCATCGCACTCCCCTCCATTTCACAGAGCAGAGTTAATGATATCAGGAAGCAGACTGTGCGGCTTCCAACATCTGTCACCCATCAGTTGTGCAACTTTGAGTGAGTTCATCAATAGCATCAGCTTTCTCATTGGTAAGCTAAGTACATGTGCTTCACCCAGGCCCTGACACACAGTAAGGGCTCAGCAAACGTTAGTTTAAATATGGAATAAAATAGGTGTCGGCCTTTTAAATTTCTAAACTAGGTATTCTAAATGGTAGCATTATAATACATTTAAAATGTATTTTCCGGTGTGCTTGAAGAGGAGCATCGTTGCTGGGAGCGTTACCAAGGTGGTTTATACTCAAGATTCTGTCGTCCAGCAAGTTGGAGCTGAGAGCTTTCCTGTTACATCAAAGGATTTTGTGTTCAGTGCCTGCGAGGACCTGCCCGTCCACGAGGACCTGTCTACTGCATAACAGAGAGTTCAGGGGGCAGAGATGTGGTGCCTGCCCCTCTAACAGCTCCTTCCTTGCTCCTTCGTTTATGCTTTCCTTGTGAAAGTGGTTTTAGTACAAATGTCATGAATAAGTCACTGCACTTCCTTGTTAGAACTACCTAATAATCAGAGTTTATTTCATAGATGTAGTTTCATTTTATTGTTTCATAATATTAAAAATGTTTATTGAGGGTCTTCTTGTATGCAAGGCTCTGCACAGGAAATAGAAAATCAGTTCCTTGCCCAATAGGATTTTCTAGGTAGAAGAAAACTGCAGACAACAAACTATGATTTCAAAGAGTAAAGGAATTAGGGATGGAGTGTGAAGGAAGCACAAGGCAGGAGTATCTCCTCCTTCCAGAGGCGCTCGGAGCAATGGACAAAGGCGTTACTAAGAAAGCTGTAAATGTGGAAAATGCCTCTCAGGCCAAGGCAGAGCCCATCCTTATCACTGATTCATGCTCCTAGTAGAAGTGGTGAAGCGGCTGGGGTGAGCTGGAAATGGCGCAGTAATAAAAATATAAATTATCCTCTGGATGCAAGACCAACAAATAAGCAGGTCAGTCTCTTTTCTTAACAAGTTGTGCTCTAATTAGTGGCTGTGATCATTAATAAATTAAATTATGCTCAAGTCCCAGGAGGTGATTGATTATCACAACTCCTGCATTTAAAACTAGGACAACAGACATATATTCCCATTTTATTTCTCAGGAATAAAGTATTAAGTATTATTTAGTTTAGTAATTTGGATTTAAAATTTAAGCATATAAATATAAATTTCAAATTTGTTAATCATCTTCTCTGCTGTTGATATTAAAAGCAAAACAAATATACTGTCAGTGAAGATTGCTAATGTTAATTAGTGGTGTTAATATCAAAAGGAATTCAAAATAGATTTATTGTAGTAGTGTAGTCCCCCCATATCCGTGGTGTTGCTTTCTGAAGTTTCAATTACCCACAGTCAACTGCACTCTGAAAATATTCAATGAAAAATTCCAGAAATAAACAATTCACAAGTTTTAAATTGCGTGCTGTTCTGAGTAGCATCATGAACTCTCTGCCATCCTGCTGTCTTACCAGGGAGGTGACTCAGCCTTTGTCCAGTGGATCCACGCTGTATATGCCCACATCATCTCAAGAAGAAGGGTAAGTACAGTACAATAAGATATTTTGAGAGAGAAAGACCACATTCACACAACTTTTATTAGAGTTTCTTGTTATAATGGTTCTATTTTATTATTAGTTGTTGTTAACCCCTTACTGTGCCTAATTTATAAATTAAACTTCCTCATAGGTATTTATGTATAGGAAAAAACACAATATATGTAGGGTTCGGTACTGTCCGCAGTTTCAGGCATCCACTGGGGGTCTTGGAACGTATCCCTGCAGATAAGTGGGGACCACTGTAATGCCTTTAGATAAACCAGTATTAACAGTATAAAGTTATTATAACTGTACCAAAAATCCATGGACATCTAAGGACTCTTGTGGGTCTATGTTTTCCCTCTTTCCTTTATAAACTTTGATGGTTTAGGTTTATGGCTTAGTCTCATAGATCAAAAAGATACTGATTATTAAAAACCAAGGCATATGGCCAGACATTCAAATAAACGATAACTATCTTAATATGATTCCTTGTGCCAACACCTTTACAATACTCCTTTTATATATATTAATGTATTGTGTCCCCAAAAATGCGTCTGTAAATACAATAGAAGAGTATGATCACTAGTTCACATTTAAATGTTTTACTTTTGCCACTAGGTGGCACTTACATATTAATAGTTGCAGAGCATACGCTTTGCATAAGAAGGCAAAATAGAGAGTGAAAGAGAGAAAAAAAAGTTAGTTTTATTAACTTTGTTTTGTATTTAAATATTTGTGCTAGTATATACTTTGAGGTCATGGGTTTATTGCAAGAAATAGTGTGGAATTCATAAAACTTTTTTTAAGAAAAAGGAAAACGAAATTATGGAGTTTTTTAAGAAAAAATGAAAGATGGACATTGACTTTGAAAAATCGACTGGGAGGGAGGAATGTAGATCCACTTATTCTGGACCTCAGCTTGTCATTTTATATTGTAATCTCTTAGCTCAAAGGAATGCTACGATCAACAGAAAATAACACAAATATACAAGTATAAAAAGCAGCATTAAAACTTTGCATTTGGTAGTGCTATGTAATGGCCAATGTTATATGAAATGTCTAATCTAATAGTGATTTTCGTGAGAACCAAGTTTCATATTAAAAATCTAAATATATTCATAGGAGTGAATGCTCAAATATTTCATGATAACAGAAGTATCAATCATTGTAAAAAGTTCAAATGCCATATGAAAACATCAGAAGATGCAATGTTAATAGTTGTTTTTTTAGGTGTAGTGTAAGACAGAACCTTCAGTAATGTGGGAGTATTATGAATGATATCCAGTTATCTTACACAGCTATAAAATTACCTACAAATTCTTATGAAAATATTTTTCTGAAGTAAAATTTTTACTCTAATTGTAGGTGAGAAGTAACACAACAACTTCTTAGACTAAATTATTCCACTCAGCTTTTTTTTCCACCAAATATGTGTATATTTGTACTCACATACATAAAAATATAAATCAACAATTTGTTCAACAGTCATCACATGACATATAAATTATTAAACAACTACTGAAGAATTGTCATTGAGACGGGGTATCAGTATCTCTTCTTTAGGTGCCACTATCATCAACCCCACACTGAATAGACTATAATTGTTTCTATCCTCCTTGGAACTCAGATGAAGCTTATTAAAGGAAATTTTCTTCCTAGACAAGTTGTTTTAAATAAGACAACAGGAAGACATGTTCCGATAATACGGTGGACCTACAAGTTTGAACTCAAAATAGAAGACTTGGGTTCCAGAACAATTTACTTCTTTGAATTCCAGGTCCTTCATCTGTAAAATGAAAGCAAAGCATTATTTCAGTGTAGTTATACATTTAAATGTGATAATATATGTTAAGAATCTTGCATAGGCTCAAATATTCTTTGAAATCTTAGATCTCTGTTCTGAAGAGCTTAAGCGTTCTACAAAGGTGGCTTACAGCAGGTGTTTAATATTTATTGGAATTTTCACTATCTTATGTGTAGCCTAAGACAGAACCTTCTTCTTTAAGCATCATGATGTATGCATTTTGATTTTGAGAAGGTGCATTGCCGGTGTGGGAAAGAGCAATCTTGACTTGAGTGGGTGATGCTTAGCACCAGTCATTAGGGTATTAATGTTAGCCATAAGAAGAAAAGAAACATCATTGACCTGGTGTGGGGGAGGAGATAAAGGAAAGAAAGTGTTCTTTGGGAATGAGTCCAGCTCTAGAGATTTAATTGGTTTCTATAGTTGAGATATAATTGGTTTCCTGCACAACTATACGTGCTGCTCAAAGTAGTGTATCTGATTGCAGTTATCCAAGAGAAAACAAGATGGTTAATGTATCATTTTGTTAATTATCTCGTGAGATTTTACATTTATAGTTGCTCTAATTACTAACAAGTGATTTTCAGACACCACATAATAGTATATCCATGGTCTCATCTGTGTACTTATTGAATACTTATTACTATAATTAGTAGGTATTGAACAGGTTTTGAGTTCTTGGCAAGTATTGACCCATTTAATCTTCATAATTTTATTTAATCCCACGAGGTAGATACTACAGATGAGGAAAATGAGAAGCCAAAATTTCAGTTACATACCTAAGGTCACACAAGCAGTAAATACAGTCATGCACTGTTTAACGACAGGGATATGTTCTGAGAAATGTATCGTTAGGCGATTTCGTCGTTGTGTGAACATCATAGAGTGTACTTACACAAACCTAGATGGTATAGCCTACTACACACCTAGGTTACACAGTACTAATTATATGGGACCACAGGTTGTATGTGGGGCCCGTTGTTGACCAAGATGTCGTTATGTGACTCGTGACTGTAATAGAAGTTTGAACCCACAAACCACAATCCTAATCATTAAATTCCCATGAGGGCTCTGTAGTGGATGTAATCCCTAAACCACAGTCTCCTGGTCATTAACGTGTATACATATCACTTAAAGGTCTTGTTCTAACTCTGTTGGTCTAGGTGGAGCCTGGGCATCGGTATTTCTAACAAGCTCTCAGGTGGTGCCAATACTGCTGGTCCAGGCACCACACTTTCATTATCAAGGCACCAAACTACTGAACTTGAACACTATTTTACCAGAAGCCAAAACTGAATTTCCAGGACAAGTTGGTTCATGCTTAGTTCAGTGGTAACAACTAAAATCTCTGGAGATCTCAGTCCAACAGAATCGCAATGAGATGACATTTCCTGAACCTTGTTAATGAATCTGGACTGATCCAATGTCCAGAAATTGAGATGATGATTTTTGACTGTTAAATGTAGTTTAGTGGTAATGATTAATAGTGATTGAGAGTCTATAATGCAATTCTGAAGTATTGGGTTATTGGTCTTCATATTTGACCCAAGTGGTAATGGAGAATGACATGTGTGTTTGAGGAAGCAGAGACTCAAGGCAAATGGCTACCAGCCCAGGTCTCTTAGGCAGCAGTGACAACACACAGATGCACAAACTCCTGTCTTCCCTCAGTTGACCTTGATGTCAGGCTAAGTTCCTTTAACTGGCTAAAAGTAAAGAGTTGCAGAACACTGCTGGTACTGGAACAGCTAAGACACAGCCACATGCTGATTTTGCTTTAAATACACAGATAATCAAGGCCAAAGTGATTCGGAAGCATTAATATTAAGAGTAATTTTCAATTGTGATTACATTAATTTGAATCTATCTAAATACAAACAACATAACTGCATATATCATTGTTTTATGCTGCTAAGATCAAAATTAAACTAATGAAGCTATTTTCTTATTCTCTGCACTCCCTCGCCTCAAGACTGCCTATGGGGTGATACTTGTATCATTCTCTTCCCAGATTCTGTAGGTGTGGTGTGGCTGGCAGGAGACTGGTTATTTCACCTCGCGTTTATTTTAATGGAACTAAATACTTTGGAATTAGTGTCTTCTTCATATGCAGATGTTATACAATTTTATGAAGCCATACTCAGAATTCAGAGTCGATCTCTAAATGTCAGGTGTATTTACTATTCTTAGAGGTCTAATATTTTCACAGAAAAAAAATCCCTTTAAGTTACTGTGAAGACAAAGTAATAAAGACAAGTCAAAAAGTGCTGCCAGTCACCAGGAAAGGAAAATACCAGAATCTCTACATGCAAAAACACCTAAGAATAGACAGCAAAGATTCTTATCAAGCCTAAGCCTTCAAATCTTATGATTTATCATGTTATATTTCTGACAATTGTCAAAGGAAATAACTCCATTTGTGAAAGAAATGGCTAAGTGGCACCCCCTTATCATTGTGTTCACTCATTAAGTTTGAAATGACTTAAAGAATAATAATGAGCTTATTTTGGAAAATTGTGTTTTCTTCAAGTGTACATTTACCTCTAAAACTAAAGACTGTTCATTCTGAGCCATACTAACACTGATACTACCGAACCATCATCGCGTTGTACTGAATGACTCTGCGGACGCTCTCCATGGAAGCCGAGCAATAATCCTCAGGACCCCATGGTTACACAAGAGTGGGTGGGGAGGTCTCTGAAAAGTGTAATAGGTGCACTGGGATGACCAATCCCCCCACCCCCCAACATGATTTACCCATTCTATATCAGCCTTCAGGATTAATAAAGGGACCATCACAAGATCTGGCTAACAAAAAAATAAGTTCATATACAGAATGACTAATTGTTTTCCCCTTCCATTAATTTTTGCTGGTATCTATTCAGAAGATATGAATAGCAAACAAATGAACAGATAATATGGCTTCTTCCTACCTATCTCACTTCTTACTGGCAGCTCCTTCAGGACACTCTGGTTCTTCCACCCTCAGTTCCTCAAAGGCACCAAGCTCCTTCCAGTTCTCAGCATTTAGACTCACAGCTCCCTCTGCCCTGAGGAAACATCCCCAACTTCACTCTTGGGTTCCCTTGTGACATATACATTCATAGTGGTGCATTTCCTGCAGAATACTTGCAGTGACTAATCTGTCTAACTCATCACTTAATGTCTGTCTTTTCTACTAAACTATAAGCAATACAAATGAATACGGATTTTCCTACTTTACCATTGTATCCTCATCTCTGTTCACAGTGCTTGGCGCCTGGTAGTTCAGTAAATATTTGTTGAATAATAATTCATGAGTCCTGAGGCCTTGCTTGTGTTTACATCCCTCACAATGACTAATGGATAATGCCTTGTGCATATGGAGGCAATTAACGTGTTCAATTTTGTAATGTAAAAGTAGAATCTTTTGTAAGGATAAATTGAGAATTGTCCAGATGTGATTGTGAAGAAATTCAATCCTAAATGAAAGGGTTTCTTTAAAGAGAACATAGTTAAGACTTAGTCATTATTTGAGCGTCTTGGGTAAAGTATTTTTGGGCTACTACTTGCAAGAATTTATTGACCCACATCAGGAGCACGATTCTTGGCTTCCCCCTACATATATACATTAGAAACACATATGGGTGGCCAATTTTAAACTATTTTTATAGGTCACTCAGAATTGCATCTTGCAGAAAATAACTTCTTAGAGTACAATGAAATGTTTGCTTGTTCACTGCTGTAGTTTGGAGTGTTTAGTGCCACCTTAAAATTCCTACAGTTTTCAGTGTTTCTTCGTTTCATCCTGTTGGCCACTGAAGTGTTGCTGAATAGATTTTTCTGATATTTAAATAATAAGAAGTGAAACTAAGGTACTTTCATTTAACACTTTAAGCATTGTATTTTTTATTGTTTTAACAGCTAAGCTTATCACCCTGAAAGCTGCAATACGCCGGGATATATGAATAAAAATCAATATCCAGGCCTTCTCGTCACCAAATAAATACTAAATTATGGTTTAAACTATACTCAGAAGTACAGTTTGTCAAAAGATGTAATTTTTTAGAAGGCAGCTTCAAATTCTTCATCTAGGGATATTCTGGACATATGCTATCGATGGAACCTTTTAGTAAATTATGAGAATTAAGTGCCCAGGAGGAAATGTATTACTACTTCCTAAAAATGTTTGAATAAAAGCTATTCTTTTCAGTGCTGTATTCTCCATAGGTAACTGTTTAGACATTAGAAACTAGCTCACACAGGCTTGCACTTACCCATCTTTATTTTACTCTCCTTTATAAGAAAGACAAAGTGGAAAAGAAATAAAATAAGACATTCCGCTCCCAAAAGGCCAATAATCTTTAAAAAAATCCATCTGCAAAATCTATTTTTATGGTTCCTGTAAACTTATGACAGGGAGTATCTGCAAGAACAAGGCTTCAAAATCTAAGCTATGTTCCAGGGTTTGCAGTTACCTTGGATTTTAACTAGATGTACAAGTTGACTTCTGACCATGGGAATCCTCTCCACGCATGGATTTATGGATTGCTGAGGCCATGGCAGATAACCAGTTCCACAGAAGCAACTCCATGTTCTTCTGAGGAAGATCCATAGCACTGTGGAACAAGGAATATAAATGAGTGAGGCCAGAAGAGACTGCAAATCGGGCTACCAAAATACAACCCTCAAAAATGAACTCTGAAGGTGGAAAACTACTTGAAAAAAAAAAAATAGACCTTTTAAAATAGTTTCGGTTATCCTATTAAGAGCACTGATAGACATTCAATAACCACACCACGTGCTTATTGAGCGTGTAATAGCCAAATTATCTGCTTATTCCAAGCTCATAAAGTAGACAAGTTGAATACATTTGCTACAAAAACATTTTTTCAGCACTGCCAAATTAAAAAGAAAAAAATCTCATGGGTAAGAGGGGAAAACACCCCTATCTATTCAAACTGTAGTAATAAAATATTTGGCCTTTAATCATCTCCAATTAAATTATATTTGAAAGCTCCCTCTCCCCCACCCATAATCAGACACAAACACATCAATTTTTAAACATTTTTATAATGGCCAAAGAAGGGGTTTACATAGATACGTTTATTAATGGAACTCGCTTTTAGACTTGTTTTTAATAGGCTGCTAATCCGTTTTAGCCTCAAATCAGTTCCATCCCATTCCTCAGTCCCTTCCTGATGTCTAACAGTTAAAGTCCTGTACCATGAGGAGAGCTTCCTGGGGCACTTCAGGAATTATCTGTTTCGGGCTTAAATAAGGACAGTCTATAAAGTTCTCTCTCTCTTCTTCAGCTCCCACTAGGATTGATAAAGGCATTTTCAGAGGCAAATGATTCTCTTCTTCTCTCTGCTCAACCTCCTCCAGCCTCTCCTCTTCCTCCTCCTCCTCCTCCTCTTCCTTTTCCTCCTCCTCTTCTGCTTCCTCCTCCTCCTCCACAGAGTCAGCCTCTTCAACTTCTTCTTCATCCTCAGCCTCCTCGGCCTCCTCTTCCTTCTCCTCACAATCCTCCTCGTCACACTCCTCCCCCTCTTCCTCATTTTTCTCCTCTTCTTGCTCCAACAGCTGTGGGGTGGGAGACTGTTTTTCCTCGTTGGGGTCAGGAGTGAAGACTAGAAGGGGATTCTGCAGAAAGCTGGACAAAGTATCCTGCAGCCCCGCGTCTTCCTCATCGCCGTGGGGGACTGCGTCGTTTCCCGGGGAGGCCGCGGGGTAGGCCGGGCTGCCCGCCCGGGCCTGCTGCGCCCGCAGCGCCTCCTGCTGGCGCTCCAGCTTCTCCTGCTGCCGCATGTCCTCGTAGATCTGGTTCATGATGAACTGGGTGGTGTTCCGCGGCGCCCGCATGCCGGGCGCCCGCCACCGGTACAGGTTCACCGGCCGCAGCAGGGTGTTCAGCTCCCCGGGCTGGCCCTTGGGCGAGGCCCTGCGAGGGGGGCGACGCAGGCCCCGGCCCCGGCGGCCCCAGCGCTTCTTCCTGCCAGGGGGCCTCACCCAGCCCGGGCTCCAGGGCCCGGGCCAGCAGGAGCAGCAGCAAAAGCAGAGTGGGTGCAGGCCGTACACCCGGATCACTTGCACCCGGCAGGGGGGCTTCCGGAATCCCGTCGGAGGGAGGCACCAGGGCCCTCCCCAGAGGCCCCAGTTAGAGTACACAGCCCAATAAGGCCGTGGGGGTGGCTGAAACCAAGGGCCCGGCCGGTGCTGTTGCTTCGGCTGTTTCCTCGGGGGCTCATATTCGGCCTTGGGGCCGTAGCGGTGGCGTCGCTTGTAAATCGGAGCACCTCTGCGCCTTCGGTGGCAGGAAGACCAGGTGCGTAACGGCGTCGAGGATGCCCAGCCACCGCCCGCGTTCAGACGATCCTCCCTCTCGTTGAGGGTCTGGGTCATGGTTCAGGGAGCTCCGACAGGTCTAAATGGAAGCGTCCCTGAAGCTGTTGTCAAGTGTGGCCAGATCCGACGGTGTGAAGAGGCTGGTCGCTGCACGGCGCCACGTGCCGGCGCTGGGGTCACGCCTCTCTCTCCAGGAGGACCTCGCTCATTCGCTCTTCCGTCGGAATCTCTCGTCCTTCGCACTCGGGTTGTCTCGCCCGCCCAGGTGGGTTGGGTGGGACTGGGGCTGGGTAAGGATGGTGGGGGAGGAAGGCGTTGGTGGGCGACGCGCAGTGAGACCTGCTCCCGGAGCCCGCACACACCCGCCGCAGCGGAGGCCGCTACGCACGGGGAGGCCGAGGCGGCGCGTTACCCTGCGGCTCCCTCTCAACCCAGGTGCTTCACCGTCGCCGTCCTGGCCGGACTGAGGAGGTGCAAGCAGTGGCAGCCTTTAAATACTGGCCAGAGCGCCAGCGTGCCCCGCCCCCCCCCCCGCGTCCTTGGTTGCCCAGGGCGACAGCCAATGGGGGTTGAGGTCGTTCGCCGTGGGCGGGGACATGGGGTTCCTGCCGGAACCGGGGACCCTCGTGAACGTTTGTAGGGGGCTTGTGACGCAATTCTTGAGCGAGGCAAAGGGCCCTGAGGCCTGGTTTGTGCTGGCCGGCAAAGGAACTGCTAGAGACAGTGTCTTTGAACTGTTTGGACCACCTTGAGACATGGGGATACAGAAGATGGCCCTTAAGCAGAACCCCGGGGGGTGAGGGGGGTGTGAGAACTTCACACCTGTAGGGGACAGAAGGGGTTAAAGAGGAAGATCCTCTAGTCAGAAAACTGGGCCCCACTCCTTACCTTGTGGCCCATGCCTAGTCTTCTAACTCCCGGGAGCTGTTGATCATCATACATGAAAACAAGACTGCACACCTTTATTGCGTGTGCCTACTGCGCCACGTGGGCTCCTGGCACTCAGTCCTCACACCTACCCTGTGAGGTAGGCGTTGTTAGCAGGTCTCGCAGATTAGGCACCTGGGAGGTTAATTTACCCAAGGTTGTAGGGCTAAGGAACTTCAGGGCTAGTATTTAAGACTAGGCTGTTTGACCCTAGAGCCCAGATTCTTAATGGCGTTCTATCCCATACTGCCCGTTTACCTGAAATAGGACTCTTGTGATGAGGGAATGAAATCAGTATGAGAAAGCACTTTGCTGATTGTAATATACCATGCAAATATCTGTTGATAAAGCGAACGTTACCAGGATGTGTACCATGGACTTTTGAGAATAGAAATATGCCAGTTATGTCTTTCCTTTTGTCCCTTTATTGACCAGATAGCATGTACTTTGCGAGCTTTTGTACTATTATGGTTATGAATACAGGTTTTGATTTAAGTAGACATGAACCTACTGTGATATATGATGGATACATGTCATTATACATTTATCAAAATCCATGGAATGTACAACATCAAGAGTGAACCCTAATGTGAACTATGGACTTTGGGTGACAATGATGTGTTAATGTAGGTTCATCAATTGTAACAAATGTGCCACTCTGGTGGGGGATGTTTATAATGAGGTAGGCTATGCATGTGTGGGGACAGGAAGTATGTGGGAAATCTCTGTGCCTTCTGTTCACTTTTGCTGTGAACCTAAAACTGCTTTAAAAAATAGTCTGTTAAAAAAAGCCACATATGCTTCAGCTTCAACTCACCAATTGTTAACTTCTGTAAGCCTCTGCCCCTTTACCCATACCATGAGCTTAGTCATAGTACCTGTTCCATAGGATCATACTAAGGGTTAAATAAGGTACTGCATTAAAGTACTTAGTGCAGGTACACCTTGAGCGCTCAGTAACTGTTAACTATTATCATTTTCATATTTAAATACTTTAGGACTTTTAAAGAAGTTTATACAGTATATGTAAAGATAATTAACCCCGTGCCTGATGCAAAAATAGGCATCCCACCCTTGTGTCCATTTCTTGTCCCACTTTTTAGAAACATCAGGGAAGTACTATGAGGCTTGATCCTAAAGAAATTGTCCCAGAGTATATCCCCCTATTACCTTCCTGTGGTGAGAGGAATTGTGCAAAACGGAACACTGCCCACTGGGAACCCCAGTCTATGCACGCCTTCATAACTGACAGAGGAGGAAAATGTGGGAAAGCCCTGAAGCTTGCAAAGGTCATTTGTGCATTCCTGGTTGAAAATTGAGAACAGTATGGAGGGTTCTTGGATCAGGACTCCAGCCATGGCCATGGGACCTGTAGACACCATGGGCTTCATTCAATTTCATTTGTTCTGTGGTTTGCTGAAGACAAGCCGACTTGACTTCAAGTGCAGAATGCTGCCATGTTCGCCTCTGGTGTCCCTTTCTGGCTGTAGATTCACACATTTGGCAGTTACTCTTCCCCTGCTCTGCTTAACTCAAAATGGAATGGTAATAGTCCAGATTTATTTTTCCAAGAACATGTGTAGTATACGATACCAGGTCTTAATTGAGAGCTATAGAAACTGACCATGTTGCTGTAGTGGAACTCCCATCAATTTCTTCTTTGTCTTAAGAAAGATTAACTCATGGATAATTAAGGACATCACCTTTTTGATCAGTTGCTGTGAACTTTAGACAAATAGTACTGGCTTTATGCACTTTTTCCATGGTGAGATATATATCTTTCATATTTGTTCTCCCTACTAAAAAACATTAATGCAGTATTGTCTTGCCCCACTGTTTTTCTTGTTAAGAGAAGCAGCAAATGACCACTTACGATTTTTAATTTTTTCAATAGATTGACATTATAATACAAATTGTTCATGTACTGGTTAGTTACCCGAGAAAATTAGCACCAGAACATGTTAAACACAACCAACAGAAATGCAATTAAGGAATTTTTTAAAGACTTTTTTTAATTGATCCATGTTCTTTAAATACTACCAAATGAAATGTTCTGATTCAACATTAAAATACAAACACCACATTTCATTATATTGTCTTAGTTTTCTATTGCTGCATACAAATTCCCACAAACTTACTTAAAACAATATACATTTATCTAAGTTTCCAAGTGTCGAGGGTCCAGGAACAGCTTGCTTACGTCCTCTGCTGAGGGTCTGACCAGGCTGTGGTCAAGGCATCTGGCTGTTTAGATTCTCATCCTGGGGCTTGATTTGGGAAAGTCTGCTCCCAAGATTATTCATGCTATTGGCAGAATTTGTTTCCTTGTGGCTGTATAACTGAGGGTTCTGCCTTTTAGCTATCTGCTGGCTGGAGGATGCCTTCAGGTTTAGAGGCCACCCACAGGTCCTAGGGGAGAACAGCAGTTCCTGGAGACAGCCCATGGATCCTTGCTGTGGGCTCCTCAACATGACTGCTCTCCATCAAGCCAGCCAAGAGCATCTCCCTAGTGCTTCCTAGCAGGATGAATACAAGAACATGTGTGTGTGTGTGTGTGTGTGTGATAATTATGGTCTTGACATCCATCACCTTTGCCATAATCTGTTGGTTAGAAGCAAGGCCCAGGTCCTACCAGCACTAGAGGAGAGCAGAGTACACAGAGGCGTGAACACCAAGAGGGGGGAAATCACCCAAGGTCACCCTAGAGTCTGTTTGCCACGTATACCAAGTAAATTTAGTAAAATATGTTCTTCATATTAACTAGTTGCAACATTATTTAGGAGATTTTAATGGAGTGGTTGCATTTCGAAGTTCTGCTAAGTGTCATATGACAGCATAGGTTATGCTATGCTATATGTCATGCAGCGCATTATGCTGTGAAGCTGAAGATGCACTGCAATCTTGGCGTTGGTTTTTGTGCACTTGTGTGACTTGAAAAGAATGAATTCTAACACTTGATGGCAGTAGTAACTCATTCAAAAATTCAGTCTGCAGGACTCTCTATACAAAACAAACTATGAAAAGTCAAATCCTTCTTTTTTATATCTTATCACACATACCACATTTAAACTACTCCCGGTTGCCAATATTAATTACTATTTATTCTACTGCAGTGGAATTGGGTATATGTATTAGATTTCAGCCTTTTTCACTTGGCTTTTAGAAAGCAAACCTCAGCTCATTAAACTGATAGGTAAAATTCTTTGGAGAGAGGTTTGATATGCCTGATATATTTGGTCAGAGAAATGAAGTACAAAAATTACTTTTAGATTGATCCTTGTAACTAGTGCATTGTTATGGGATACAAAAGATACCATAAATAGATTAAATTTTATGCATTCTCAAAGACTTGTCTTTTTCCACCCTGAAGATATTCAGGTACAGTAACTGAAAACCAGGAGGGCAGGCGCCTTCTAGTGGTCAAAGAGGCTAACTACAAGGTATGAAGTCTTTCCAAAAGTTAGACAAAGGGATTCAAAATTACTCTGCTTTCTCTTGATAATTTGGGAAGTTGTGGGGTTAGTTTGCAAATTGGTGAGGCATGTGGTGCATCAGGGAATACCACTGTGGTATTTTCCCATTTGTGAATGACAATTTAAGCAAATTATGAAGAGTTCACTTTCTAATGAGAAAACTACAAAGACAATGTTTCTGCAGATTTCAAAAGAAGTGAGGATGTGGATTTTACACTCGTAATAGTACTATGTGTCGATATTACTCAACATCACCCTTTGAAAGTATTATTAATCCTCTACCAACTCAGGATTTTCAGAAGATTTGTGCAACATATTGTACTCATGTGTTAAAAAGAACACGTGTACTCAGTAACGATCAGTTAGGAATTTTAACATGGAAATGTTTGCTTATAAATAGTTTAAAGTAACTATATTATGGGGCAATGGAATGCAGTATTCTCTCCTTTGGAAAATAACCTGTAGTATTTAGAGAAAAATAAACGTGTCGCAAATGAATAGAGAAAAAATATCAGGCTGTTAATAAAGTACTGTGTTTAATCAGAGGTCAGTTTTGGAATTACAGCTTTAGAGTGAGAATGTGAATCATTTGAAATGGCCATTTAAATAGGATGTGTTTAGAAGGAATAATAAAAGGTTATCATCGCATTTTCAGGGTTATAGTAAGCACTTGGGCCTTCTGGAGTTCATGGTGAATTACATGTACAAAGCAGCCTTGTGAGTAGGCAGTCAGAATGCCTATGAGAATGTCAATTGGCCCCATAAAATTTGCATAATAATGCCATTTTCTTCCCAGTATTTTATTTCATTTTTTTGCTCCGGCTACCCCCTCCATGATTTTTTTGTAATAGCGTACTGAGAAGGCTGGGAGGATAGAGAGAATTCTGTGCTGTTTGCGGGGAAATCTGAGATCATCAATAATGATAATGTGGGCAGGGCGTTATAACTTTCATAGTGCCCTTTCCTCCACAAAAAAGCCAACAATTTTAGTTTATGTCTTGTTGCAGTAAAGATTAATATATTTCAGGCTAGATTCTTTATTGTATGTTTATTATTATTATAATCATGTTTGCTGTTTACTGAAAAGAAATGAAAACATTTGCATAGTTCCCTACAGTTATCATGGGCCCCGGGCACTGTGCCTACTGTGCCTACTGAGTAAGTCAGCTCTGCCTGCTAGGGATCTCCCTTAACCCTAGTGGCCCTGAGCAGCTCAATCCATCTTTCTGCTGATCTTCTGGAGGCTGGGTATCTACAAGACTAGTCTGGACCCCAGAAACATTTCTCCAAACATGTCTCAAACTTTCTTGGCCATTTGGAAGTCACTGTACCATACAAAAAGGTAATACTGAGCTTGGCATCTATATTAGTCTGTTCAGGCCGCCATAACAAAATACCATAGCATGGTGGCTTAAACAATAAAATTTTATTTCTCACAGTTCTGCAGGCTGGGGAGTTCAAGATCAAGCTCTCAGCTGATCTGACTTCTCGTTATGTCCTTCATGGCCTTTCTTCAGTGCACACACACACACACACACACAGCGTGAGATCTCTTTCTTCTTATAAGGCCTCTAATCCCATCATGAGGGCTCCACCCTCATAGCCCCATCTAAATCCCAAAGTCCCTATCCCCAAATACCATCACATTGAGGGTTATGGCTTCAACATATGAATTTTGAGGGGACACAAACATTCAGTCCATAACAGCTTCTCGGTCTAGCCTATACACCGTTTTCTTATATCGCAAAACAGGAAAAAGGCGTATTTGTGGTATTAGAGGCAGAACAGTAGAGAGGAATCCAACAAGACATTGGAGTCGGCCCTTAACCCAGGACAAGTAGTTTAAACGCTCTCTCTGATCTCACTTGGAATAGTCATTACTATCCCCAACTCCTGGAATGTTGTGAATTAATTCCTGCAGAAGACCTTTATAGACGTTTGTGTCCCAGAATTGGTTGCTATTATAACAATGTGTGTATATTTATGGACTAACTTTAAAACAGCATTTAGTATGCTTCAAAGTTAAACTCTAGCCTAAAGATGATTTCTGACACTACTGGCTGACATATGCTCTCTCATCGTCTCTCGTTTTTTATCGTCTTCTACTTTATAGCAATGGTGCTCTGAAGTGCTTAAATAAATTTATTTTAAATTTAATTTATGTTAAATAATAAATTAGTTTAAACATCATACAAAGTTGTTGTAATAACTGTGTAGACATTCTGGGAGCTACCAGTTTGTCTACTGTCAGTGCTATTCATTTAACCTCATTCAAATGTACACATGATAAGATCTAGCAGATGGTTTTTCTTTCTTCCATGTTACTTCCCCCTATATTTCCCACAAATGCAAGTAAAAGTAACACTGGAAGATAATTTTGACTAAAAAAAATATCTGTATGTTAAAAATAACTTAGCAATGTGTTAGCAGTGAAAATTTTGCTAAAATTTTGAATTTTGCTAAAGATTGATGCAGTTCTTTTTCTTAACCTATAGCAAATGAATTAAAATCAAATCATCCATTTGGCTGCCTCGTTGGCATAACAGAACTAGAAAGGTCAGTGACACTCTTAGTCTGTGTCTTTGTCGACATGGAGAATAACCATTTCATTTTAGAAATATAATAGTAAAATGGCTTCATTAGTGTTCGTAATGTTTCATTATTATTATCAATGCTGCAACCACTTTTTCTATGTATTTCTAGGAAGACTTAAGGGCAGAGAAAGAAGGTCATAGTCCGTGGTGTGTCACCATTTGCTTAATACTACTAGGATTCAGGGACAGGGGTAGGGAGAATTTTAAAGATTACTCTCCAAGATCTGTGCTCTCTGGTTATTCAAACTCTCATCTTGTTACTGCTGTTAAAAACTTTTGCAGAAGTAATTAAAGTCCCAAAGCAGTGACTTAAAATATGGAGATTATCTAGGTGGGCATGACCCTACCAAATATACACTTTAAAAGCAGGGTTTTCTCTTGATAGCAGCAGAAGAGAAAATCAACAAGATTAGAAGTACAAGTAGGAGTCAACACGCCATTGCTGGCTTTGAAGATGGAAGGGACCGTATGATGAATGTGTGCATCCTCTGGAAGATGAGACAGGCCCTTGGCTAACAGTCAGGAATTGGGGACTTTAGTCCTATAACCACAAGGACCAAAGTCTTCCAACAAACTGAATGAGCTCGGACGTGGATTATTTCCCATATCTTCCAGGAAGAACCCGACAGCAGCACTTTGACGTTGGTCTTGTGAAATCCTAAGCAGAGAATTCAGTTGAGTCATGAAGGACTTCTGACCTACACAAACTGTGAGATAATCAACTGGTGTTGTTTAAACTCCTAATTTTTGGCACTAATTTTTAGGCAGTCATAGAAAACTGATATAGAGATACAATGCTAGAATTAAAGTCTACTTTTAGTCTGATTCACAGTAATGTACTTATGAGAGAGTATGTCTAAAAAGTCAGAACAAGAACTCTTTCAATCAATTTCTTTTGAAGATTGTCACCTGAGCTAACATCTCTTGTCAATCTTCTTTTTTTTTCTTCTTCTTCTTCTCCCCAAAGCCCCCCAGTACACAGTTGTATATTCTAGTTGTAGGTTCTTCTGGTTGTGCTATGTGGGATGCCACCTCAACGTGGCTTGATGAGTGGTTCCATGTCCATGCTTAAGATTTGAACATGTGAAACCCTGGGCCACCGAAGCAGAGCATGCTAACTTAACCCTTGGCCACAGGGCCAGCCCCGCAATCATTTTTTTTTTTTTTAAGTAAGATTAGCCCTGAGCTAACATCTGCCAGCAATCCTCTTCTTTTTGCTGAGGAAGACTGGCCCTATGCTAACATCCATGCCCATTTTCCTCTACTTTATATATGGGATGCCTGCCACAGCATGGCTTAACCAACGGTGTGTAGGTCTGCACCTGGGATCTGAACTGGTGAACCCTGGACCACTGAAGCGAAACTTAACTGCTGTGCCACCAGGCGGGCCCCAATCAATTTTTAAATATCATCAGATTGTAGCACTTGATGGCTTGGTGGTTATTCTATTTTAAGCCTTTAAACTTCGGGGTATACAAATTATGACTAAATGATGATTGGTTTCCCTGCTAGGAAATGCTTATGCATTTAAAATGGAGACACATTAAAACAATTCCCTTTAACTGTTACGCCGCAGAAGTTCTAGATTTAGCTGTAGTGTCTACAAATAATGGCATATGATGAATGGTATGAAGCAATGAGGAAAAACTCAGATAATTTAGATGAGGAAATATACTTAACTGAAAGAGATAGTTGCAAATAAAAATATATATTGTATGTTTTTACATTTTGGAGATGTCTTGGAAATTAATTGTCCCACTTTTTTACTTTAATATATTAATTCAGAAATAGAGTATGCAATGATGAACAAGTGTGCTATTAAATCATCTCGCTGAAGCTGTAGAGAATCATGTGCTCTCCCACATTGTTGGTGAAAGTGTACGTGGCTGTAGTATCTTTGAAGGGCAATTTAGTAACATTTATTAAAATTTAAAAGAATATACCCTTTGACCCAGAATTGCACTTCTATGAATTTATCCATAAACTTATTCTCACATGAACGCAAAGATACTTATGTTCATGCAAGGATTTTCTTTGCAATTTTTAGTGTAAATACAAAAGATAAAATGTACTTCCATGTAATGTGCCGATGTGTGGTTTTCAGAATCAGTATGTGCTGGTATAGAAAATTCACCAAGAAATATTTTTAAGTGAAATAAGCAAGATTCAGAATCCTGATTATCTTTTGTACTTAAAAATCTATGTTTACGTGTTTAGATACGTACGTAACGGTGATATGTATAGACGCGTAGCAATGCACATCTATATTTGTGTAAAAAAGGGGAAATTATGTGCAAGATTTTGTTTCTTGGGGCCGGCCCAGTGGCGCAGCGGTTAAGTGCACACATTCTGCTTCGGCGGCCTGGCGTTCGCCGGTTCAGATCCCAGGTGCGTACATGACACCGTGTGACAGAAGCCATGCTGTGGTAGGCGTCCCACATATAAAGTAGAGGAAGATGGGCATGGATGTTAGATCAGGGCCAGTCTTCCTCAGCAAAAAGAGGAGGATTGGTAGCAGTTAGCTCAAGGCTAATCTTCCTCAAAAAAGAAAAAAAAAAAAAAGATTTTCTTTCTCATGGAAAATTCACAGAGACATGCAAGAAACCATTGAATAGTTATTTCTAGGGAGTGAAAACTTGGAGTTTGCAGCTGGAAGGAAACTCATCTTTCATTGTATATTCTTTTATTATCTTTCAGTTTTTAACCATATGCCTATATTATGTTTATACATTTCAGAAAGATCCACTTCCCTTAGAAGGTATTCCTTAACTTCTTCCCTAGTGTGCTTATCATTATCATTGTCTATATGCTCCCTTTTCTATATTTTATTATTTTCACAGGTGCAGAAATACACCAAGTAACTGGTCAATTTAGCAAAGGTCTAAAATGAATTGACAGGTCTTTAAGATGATAAAATTTTATTATTGAAAAATTGAAGCTATATGTATTCTTGTTATAGTTATTTGCATGCTGTGATTATAATGAATATTTTCCCACAAAGCCATTGAAATTTTCAAATACTTTTATTCTTTTCTTCATTTTCTTTAATGAATTCAGAAACAGAAACATGCTTTAGTGAAAGAAAAAAGGAAGAGAAAAGTTTAATTAAAAACATCTAAATCTTAGCAATATACCTAAAGTGTTCATTTTTAATTTTTCTTTATTATATGCTTCACTTGATGTTATATAGGATATGAATCCTTAAAAGTTGCAAGTTACATATGATTTATAAGAATATTTGTGAAATATTTTTTATCATTTGGTTTTGCTCTTTCTGTACATCTTTTGGTTTATTCCTGTTTCTTCTGGTGTTTTTCTTAGATTACTAAGTTGCCATCATATCTTAAAAGTCTTAGTTGTATTTTATGGAATTATATATCATTGAGAACACAATTTGAAAGTATCATGCTGAGTTTTGTTTATGAAGAGAGCAGTGAGAATTGTTTGTTATGGCCAGCATCGTAATGCTAACCACTATCTGAAATTAGACAAGACTCCCAATAGGCAAGCGAGGTAGGCACAGATAGGCTTGAGGAGTTTTGCTGAGATTGATAGGGTTTCCATCCAATCGAATGTCCTCTAGGGCCTTTCGAATATAAGTCAAATTTTTAACATTGCAGAAGGTGTCTTCATGCATCTCCAGAATGTTGTTATTCTGAAAAAGATGGAAATATCTTATAAGACAAGATATAACGTATCCTTAGTATTGATTAATAACGTCATCCATTTGCTTCACCTCCGTTTCTATTCTTTTGTTCCTTCTCTCATCCGAAAAGGCATGTTATGTGATTATTATGCATCAAGCACTTTCTGGGTAATGGGGATAAGTCAATTAACAAATAGACACATGCTTGCCCATATGGAGCTTATACTTCAGTAATGGGAACATAAGATAAGGAGGTGAAAAAACAAATTTAAAGGAAAAGAGTTATTTCCAAAACAATGAGAACTATGAAGAAAGGATGGTGATTGTGAAAAGTTGTCTTAAGAGATAGCAATAGAACTGAGAATGGAATGACAAGAAGACATGGCCATGGAAAGAGCCAAGGTAAGAATATCCCAGGTGGAGAGAACCCAACTTCAGATTCTGAGTAATTAGCATGGAATGTTCAAGAATGAGAAAAAAATCAAGATGGCTAAAGTGAAGGGAGGGAGACAGTGAATAAATATCAGAAAGATAAGCTGGGTCCAGAACTAGATGTTTAAAGATAGTTTTATTGAGTGTATGTCACTTACCATAAAATTCAGCCATTTTAAGCGTATAGTTCAGTGATTTTCAATATATTCACAGACTTGTATAAGCATCACAACTTAATTTGAGAACATTTTAAACATCCCCAAAAGAAACCCCATAGATATTAGCCAAAGATATTAGTAATAACTCCCCATTTTCCCCTACCTCTAGCCCCTGGCAACTTCTAAACTATTTTCTTTTTCTATGGATTTTCCTTTTCTGAACATTTCACATAAATGGTATCATACAATGTGTCATCTTTTGTGACTGGGTTCTTCCACTTAGAATTGTATTTTCAAGGTTCATACATGTTCTAGCATGTATCAGTACCACCTTCTTTTCTGAAGAAGAAGATTAGCCCTGAGCTAACTTCTGCTGCCAATCCTCCTCTTTTTGCTGAGGAAGTCTGGCCCTGAGCTAACATCCATGCCCATCTTCCTCTGCTTTATATGTGGGATGCCTACCACAGCATGGCTTGCCAAGTAGTGCCATGTCCACACCCGGAATACAAACCAGCAAACCCCAGGCCGCCAAAGCAAAATGTGACCACTTAACCACTGTGGCACTGGGCTGGCCCCCCACCTTCTTTTTTATTGCCCAATAATATTCGGCTTTACAGCTATATCACATTTTTGTTTATCCATTCATCAGTTAATAGGAATTTGAATTGTTTCCAATCTTTGGTTCTCATGAATAATGCTTCTATGAACATTTGTGTGCAACTTTGTTTGGACATGTGTTTTCAATTCTCTTAGGTATATACCTAGGGGTTGAATTACTGAGTCATACAGTAACTTTATGTTTAACATTCTGAGGACCTGTCAAACTGTTTTCCAAAGTAGCTGCACCATTTTACCCTTCTTCCAACAATGTACGATGGTTCCAGTTTCTCTTCATCCTAAGCAACACTTGCAATTGTCTGTCTCTTTTATTTTAGCCAACCAAGTGGGTGTGAAGTGGTATCCCATTGTGGTTTAGTTCATTGTTAGTGCATAGAAATGCAGTTAATATTTTATATTGATTTTATAATGTGCCACATTGCTGAATTCATTTATTAGTTCAGATAGTTTAGTGAATTACCTCTGACTAAAACTGAGACACAAGAAGGTTCAGATATTTGTCCAATCATTAAATATTGTTGGGAGTAGAATTGTAGCTCAGGGAATCTGCTTTTGCCAGGGCTGCTATTCTTTTCTTTCTTTTTTTGGAGGGGGACGAAGAGTGGCCCTGACCTAACATCTGTTGCCAATCTTCCTCTTTTTGCTTGAGGAAGATTGTCACTGAGCTAACGTCCCTGCCAATCTTCCTCTATTTTATGTGGAATGCCGCTACAGTGTGGCTTGATGAATGGTGCTAGGTCTGCGGCTGGGATCCGAACCTGCAAACCCCGGGCCACCAAAGCAGAGCACACAAACTTAACCACTATGCCACTGGGCCAGCTCCAAGGGGCTGTTATTCTTAATCACTATAATATATGTCAGCAAACATTTTTCAAAGAAATCAAAAAAGAGAATTTTTATTAAAATCATTAGAGACATATATAAATTGAAGACAATGTAAAATAAAAAACTTTATGCTGAATATTGGTGAGGTGGTTGTGAAAGAGGAATATTTTAAAAGGTACACTTAATGCCTTTTTAAACCTTAGACTAGAGAATGTAAAGCTAATTTACTTCAAAAATATCTCATATTGTATATCCAAACATATTCTGTTTAAATATAAGATCAGAGGACTCATTACTTTGCAGAGTCAATATCATCACAGACAATAGTAACAAGATTTAACTCAGAATTGGAAAACACATTCCAAAATTTCCTCGAGGATTCCCTTGAAAATCCTCCTTCCAGTCATAAACAATGCCAGAAATCCTCATATACATAGAAACTTGCCCCCAGAAAAACGGAGACCAAGAGAGAAACATTCAGAAACAGAGTGAGAACTAGAAAGGACATATATATTAAGGAAATAAACACAGCCAGAAAACGTCTCGAAAAAGACAAATATCCAAGACTCATAGACAGATATACACACAAAGACACTTAAAAAAAGTATGGAAAGTTATATATTAATAGGAATAAAAGAAAAGACACAGATGTAAATATTTACAGAATCCACGGAGAAAAACACAGGAATCTGAGACCTGCTCTAGCGTAGCAAAATCACTTATTGTGACGGCTTGCACTTTTTCTGCTAAAAAACTGTAATATTACACTATGGTATTATTTCTTTGAGCACACAATGGATGTGTTGTCTACAGATTTATTCCACAGAACAGATGAAATTAGTACAGAAAGTTGATTACAGCTGTAGACCAAAAGTTACTCACATCTGAAATAAGAAATAATTTATCTTTCTTTGTTTTAATAACCAAAAATGTTTGTTTTAATTGAGCATATTTTTAATCTATTTAAATGAAATATATTTAGCAAATATTAGATCATAGCATTTTTGAAAATATGTTTTCATTTATTACTTCAAAGATAAAATGTAGCTTAATGGAATTCAAAGTAACGCAAACTTTCAAATATGTTGGTTTAGAAAAAACTGCATTTTCTTAATCCAGAGAGATTGAAATCTATCATCTCTCAGTAGATAGGAATGTTATAGAACATGAATTTAATTCACTACATAAAAGCTAAAATAGACATTTTTTCCCCCTGAGAACTAGAAATCAAATTAGATTTTTCCTTCCCTTTTTCCTTTCTATTTCTAATCCTTACACACTTCTTCAGCAGATGAAGCTTTCAATTTTCATAAGAAGCTTTGTGTGTCAAAAAGATGTATTATGGCTTGGCAAAGAATGAAAATAAACACTAAGGTTATGAGAAACAAACCAGTATACATAGGGTCATGAATGTACAAATACCTTGTACTCATATTGAGAGAGAAGGAATGAGAGAGTGAGGAAAAAGAAGAAAAATTGTCACAGTGTCTCAACATGCTATTATGAACAGCTTTTCGCATCCCAAATTCTTCCTGGGCTTTTGTTTTCTGTGGAACTGTTGAGCATACCTTACTAGCAGAAGCCTACCTGGAGGTGAAGGGCCCGCAGATTTTCTGGGAGTGGCAGAGGGATGTGGTCCAAGTTGTTATCAGTGAGGTAGAGATGATGGAGATCATACATATCCTGTAAACATTCCAAATGTAGGGACTTAATAGAAATTAGTGGTGCCATTAGTTGTATTTTCCATTTCCTGTTCATGCAACTATTTGTAAAATAACTCATGCCTGTTCAGGTCTTGTTTTGTAAAGTTGAGGCAGGTTAGTTTCCTAAGTTAGTAGACAGTTCAAATGAGTTTTGGAAGAACTGATGGCAAGCAGATATCTCTTGGTGATAATGGAACATGCTTCTCAATCTCTAAGAACTGTCCACTCTAACTTTCTCAATTTAAACAAGTCAGTGACTCCATTTAAGACATTCTGCAATGGGATTTTGTAAGGCAGAGCAAGAATTTCCTTCATGTTACAGGGGTGGAGAAATGAGGATTTCTCCCCCAACAAAAGCCTGCTCTCTCTAGCCTAAGTAGAGGGAAAAGGGCAGCCTAGCAAGACAGAACACATTGAGACAATAACAGGCCTATTCTAGCCAAATTCCACAGCACAACCTGTTACTCACCAACACCCATGTCAACAAATGCTGAGTGGGGAGACTAGACTTTGACCCTTACTTAATGAGGTGCACTAATTCCCTTGCCCACTAGGGCGGTGTCACAGGAGGGTTGGTGGAGAGAGAAGACTTTCATTCTTTTCCAGTGTTACCTTACAAGTCCACATGACTCCCTGTAGCCTCCATGGAGTAATGTGATGTCCCTTCAAACAGTATTTTAAATTTGTTTGTTCAACATATATTTAGAGAAGGAGCTTGTTCAGAGTAAGAGTGGGTAAGAAAGCCAGCTGGTTACTGTTCCCAGACTCTATGTTGTTATTCCAAGCAAGTCACTCCTGCCCCAAACTTGCTTCCTTCACTTAGAAAACAAAGTTCCTAAGATTAACTGAATCCATCTTCTTTACAAGGTATTTTAGAAGACTTCTACCCTCAAGGCACCACCCACTCCCTGTACAAGCATTTATCCTTTTAACTACACAAAATGCTCTCCCTGAGTGGAGTTATTGGCAAATACAAATTATCTGACTTATACCATTTCCAGGTGCAATTTATAGATTGGTGCTCCAGATAGCCACCCACTTCTTATGCGAGCTCTGCTTTCTGTTCTTGGTGATTGATCATCCTCAGAACATACCAGAACACAGTATTTCCCAAAACAGTGTTGTGAAGTTTATTTTAGGAGTTAAAAGTCTCATCATATTGAATCCCTTTATAGAAATAAAAAGGCTAGTCATTGACAGCAAATGGAATGGGAAGATGAAAGTCTTTCATAACCACACTTAAAACTCACTTTAAATGCTTCCTGCTTTATTCCTTTCCTTCCAAGTCTGTTGTTGCTAATATCAATAAATGTCAACGTAGTTGGCAATTCTGGGAGCTGCCTTATTTTGTTGTCACGCAGGACAAGCTCTCGGAGTTGAGGCAGCTTTCTGAATGCATCTTCATCAATCTCAGATATTAAATTTGATGTCAGATCAATCCTTCTTAAATCATCTAGAAGAAAAAATGAAGTGGTTAAATATTCTTGAATATATTTTGCTCACATAAAAATATGAATATAAATTTTCCCACATGCAAGCAAATTTAAATAGGAATTTAGCAGTGGGCAACTAATGAAATAATGATTTCTAACTACTGTATAAAATTTAATTGTTTCCTCCTAATACTATTCATATTTGTGCACTTACAAGAAAGTGTAACTTTAGTAGAGAAATGGGCATGTTATATTTAAAATAGTCTTTGACCTATATTATACATAAACTTTCTCTGAATTTTACTAGTTAAAATGTTTTCCTCAGTGATGGCAGATTGTTGTATTATCTAAAAGTCAAAGATACATTTTTCTTAAAATAAAAGCATTAAGAATTTGTCAGGTGATTAAAACACTTTATGAAGAGAAGTACCAAAATTCTTCCAAATTGACAATCATTATAAAGTCAGAATGTTGGCTTCCATTCGTCATCATAAAGCAACCGTACTTGAGTGGAAGTCTCTTCAAACAAGCCAAATCCTAGTAAATATATGACCATGACATTTTACTCTTAATGTCATAACATTATAATGAGTTCTAGCTTATAACATACAATATTTATGATTTCTATTTAGCTAAAAATAGTTTATTTGAAAATATCAACAATGATATAGTTTCATCATGACCTTTCATTATTTGTCATTTTTTGTTATAATAAAAACAAGCCTTCAAATATTTAAATAAGAAAAAAGAATTGATTTATGAGCCATATTTTATATTCAAGTTTCATTTTCAGTACCAACATTTTACAGGGCAAAAATCTTAGGAAAGTCTGTAAAGAAGAGAAGGACAATAGTGCTGTCATTCATACTTAGGCTTGCGAAATCGTTTTTGTTGATCTTTTTAATTTTGTTAAAGCGGGAATAGAAATAGGCGGTGTTCTTGGGCAGTGGAGGAATGGCGTCAAGTTCATGGTCATCACAGTACACGGTGGTGCTTATGCAAGTACACAGAAGGCAGGTTGGGAAGTCTGAAAGATAGAGGCAAATAATTACATGCAAGCAACAAAAGCAATTTCTAACAAATAATGTAATTAGGAATGTTTGGTAAACAAGGTTAGAGTCTCATACAGACCATCCTGGTATAGTTCATATTTTCTCATATAGTTTTCTGTGTGTGGAATAGTAAAGTCATATATACCAATTACAACCACCCCAATAATTAGTATATTCTTTGTAATGTTTTAAAATTTTATTTTAAGTTACTGAGTGAATGTGGAAAGGTTGTTGCTTTTATACTTATTAGAAATTCTATTTTCAAATGGAAATTTTAAGATTGTGGTTTTTATAAATTTAAAACATCACATATAATATTTTTATTAGGTCTTTGGTTCAATATTTAAACACCCCATTGAACCAAAATCTGCTTCAAGAAAATGATAAGGTAATAATTATTAATATTAATTCACTCAATATGTAATTTATTCAATCTTTTGGGTTTTTTTTAGGAAGATTAGCCCTGACCTAACATCCAGTGCCAATCCTCCACTTTTTGCTGAGGAAGATTGTCCCTGAGCTAACATCCATGCCCATCTTCCTCTATTTTATATGTGTGACGCCTACCACAGCATCGCTTGAGCAGCGATGCCTAGGTCCACGCCTGGGATCCGAACTGGAGAACCCGAGGCCACGGAGGCGGAGTGTGTGAACTTAACCACTGCTCCACCGGGCAGGCCCCTATTGAACTCTTTTTATGTAGATAGTACAGTGCTAACTGATGAAACAGTGGTGGGCACAAAGAGACACAGTCTATTTTATGATCTGCTATGTAAGATGAATGTTAATTACATAAATAAATAAAATGATGACTGTGATAAATGTCATGAAATATGACATAAGTATAAAATAGAGGAATTTGATCCAATCTGAGAGTCATGGTTCTCTGAGGAGGTGACACTTGAGCTGAGAGCTGCAAGAAGAGAAAGGGTTAAGATCTACAAGAGGAGAAGGAGTTGACTGTGCAGGTGGGAGGGAAGAGCATGCAGGCAGTGGAAGCAGCGTGTGCCAAGTTCCTTCGCTTTGGAGGGACTGAAAGATGGTCCATGTAGCTACAGCACAGAGAGCACTGGAACCTGTGGGACATAACATTCATGGGCCTTATAGGCTGTGTTATAGTTTTTGTTCCTTATCCCAAGGATGAACAGCTAGGGGTATTACATGATTGATTTGCATGTTAAAATATCACTGTGAGGGCCGGCCCAGTGGCACACCAGTTAAGTTCGCACGTTCAGCTTCAGCGGCCCAGGGTTTGTCTGTTCGGATCCTGGGTGTGGACATGGTACCACTTGGCAACCATGCTGTGGTAGGCATCCTACAAGTAAAGTAGAGGAAGATGGGCATGGATTTGAGCTCAGGGCTAGACTTCCTCAGCAAAAAGAGGAGGATTGGCAGCCGATGTCAGTTCAGGGTTGATCTTCCTCAAAAAAACAAACAAAGGATATCACTGTGCTTAAAGTTGTGGTGGAAGATTGAAGGAGGCCAGTGAGCAGAGTGGAATGAGTTGTTTTCTAGATAAAAGGTGATGGTTGCTTGGCTAGGGAAATGGTGATATAAAAGGCAACAGACCCAAAAGATATTTAGGAGGCTGGATTATATTCCAACATATCTCTCTCTATCATACACACGCAGACACAGACACACACACAGACACACACACACACCCCTACCCCTCCTTCACCTTCTGTTTAGTGGTCATGTAGAGGACATTGAGCTTCTAAGGGACATAGAGAAGCAATGACCAGAAGGCAGGGAGGAAAATAAGATGAGGCAGTATTATGGAGGCCAAGTGGAGAGAGAGTTTGGAGGAAAAGGGAACAGAAAACCATCTAAGGCTGCTGAAATGTCAGGAAAGTTCAGGACTGAAAATGTGTCTTGGATTAATTATTGAGGTGGTTATAGGAGACTTCAGTCAGAGCTATGGAGTGATGAGGCTGGAAGCCAGATTATAGTCAATTAAGGGGCAAGTTGGAGGTGAGAAAATAGTTAACAGCAAATATAAGCAATGCTATTGAGATGTCTGACTATGAAGAAGGAGGAAGGAGAGATGATGATAACTATAAGAAGACATTGGTGGTTTGTATGATGAGGGAAATTGACTAAAGAGGGAGAGATTTGAGGAAAAGGAGCTGAAGGAGGAGAGGTTGAATATAAAACAGATCCTGAGAGGGCAGTAGGAAATGCGTCTCAAAGCACAGGGGGAGGGTTCACATCCCACTTGTGGGAGGACAGACAGTTCCTCCATTGTAATAGGAGGAGAGGGAGATAAGGTGCATCGATGGAGATGTAGGTGAAGTATATGTCTGAAAATAGAAAGACCAAAGAGGTGCCGAGAGGAAGATGCATTTTCATGGTGAAGTAGGAGGCTAAGCTCTCTGATGAGCTTGAGGAGTAAAGGGAGGAAGGCAGCAAGGGTTGTGAGATGTGAGATGAATGGAGAAAGTGAAACAGCCTAGAGAGGGAGAGAAGAAAGTAATAGAAGAATTTCCCTGGTTTGCTCAGCAATCAATTCATCCCAACTTAACTGAGACTGTCCTGGTTTTAGCACTGAAAGTCCTCCATCTTGGGAACCACTCACTGCCGGGCAAACTGGGACAGTTGGTCGGCTTAGATGAAAGATTCATTTCTGGTTTGTGATCACGAACTAGCGATGCACCTGCTAAGGTCTAATTGCTATCTTTAAACAGGAAAATCATTTACCATAACAACATCAGGAATGAAAACTATTTTAGGAATGGAAATCTACGCAAAAAAGTTTTAAGGGAGCTGTAAAATATTTAATACTTGCTAATTTATCCAATCATTATAAATTAATGTTTGCCACTTATCATAAATTTTTTTTAAACGTAAGGCATTTGATTCTTTCATATATTCATGGCTGTACTAATTTAGCAGTAATTGCTTAGGACAATTATATATATTCACACCAGTTGTAATTTAATTCTAGTTTTTCCTCATAACTCAAGCATACTTTATACAGCTTCAGAATATTATTTTTAGAAATTTGTATTCATAGTAAAATAATACGATATTTTGATTTTTAACGTTCTAAATATTTCCAAACTATTTAACTTTCATAAATGTATAAGATTTAAATTTAATTTTAAAGTTTAGAATTTCTGGTGATGTTTCTCTGGAAACTAAAATGTGAGTTAAACTTTTATCTTCGTTACCCATGCTCAAGTCTGACTTTCAGTGCTAAAACCAGGACAGTCTCAGTTAAGTTGGGATGAATTGATTGCTGAGCAAACCAGGGACCTTTAGAGACAAAATTTTTTTTAAATTCATATTTTTATATTGTTTCAAAACTGACAGTGTTGAAGCATGATTTTGACTAAAGCTTTGAAAAAGATTGGACATTATGCTTTTCTGTTGTTCCTGGCTCAGCTGAAAGACCACGAGTACATGTACTGATGCCAGATCAGTCAACTTTTGAAGGATCTGAAATTACTTAAAAATAAGTAATGTTCTAGGGCTATTTAATTTCCCCACCTGAGGGCTTTCTGCTGGGTACTTACATTTCCTTCTCATTGTGTGTGTAACTCCCTGGTTCTTTCTGTAGATGTTCTACAACTTCATAGAAAGTTAACTATGTGGAAAGAATATGATGTGCTCGTGAAAGGCAAGATTGAGTGGTCTCTGCTTGCATTCCAGCACCCCTACATCCACCTCCATGATCTTGGACAACCTTCATAGTACTTTGGAGTTCCACTTTTCCTATTTATAAAGTGGAGATAACAATACCTAGTACATAGCATTGTTGTGACTTTTCAAAGAGTTAATGTACATAAAACACTTTTATGGCTGACCTATCAGCAGCATTTCATAAATGCCGACTTTTTATATTACTTATTGGCGAACAGTTGAAAACTCATAGCAGCAGAGAATAGATTGGTGGTTACCAGGGGCTGTACCAGGAGAGGGGGACATAGAGAGTTGTTCAATGGGTACAAAGTTTCAGTTATGAAAAATTAATAAGTTCTAGAGATCTGCTGTTCAGCATAGTGCCTATAGCTAATAATATTGTATTGTACTCTGAAAATTTCGTTGAGAGTAAAAAAAAGGATAAACTCTTCTACCAATAACAGAATAATGAGAATAACTAACATTTATAATGTTTACTATGGGCCAGGCACTAAATTCATTCATTTAATCCTTATAACAACTATATTAGGTAAGATCTATTATTTATTATCCTGTTTTTTAGATGAGGAAACTAAGGCACAAAAAAATATTGACCACCTCGCTCAAGACTCTATCCAGCAAGTTGCAAAGCCTGGATTTGAATGCTCTCCTCTCTCTTTCTTTCCTCAGTATGTTCTGTACAGACTTTTCTCATATTACCTGTACCACATTCTTGCCTCTAAGTTTGTTTACACGTCTGTGTCCTTGTACTAGACAGAAATATCTTTGAGAACAGTAGTTATTTTAAGATAAGTATTGTATGTCCAGAACTTAGAGTACAGAGATGCTCGATAGTAACTGGACCTTTGCAATGGGAAGCCGACTCATTTGTAATACACCACCTCATTGTGCCATTCTCCGTTTGTGTAAAACTATTCTGTGTCAGTCTGCTTGAGCTTCCTAAAGATGGACAGTGACAAATTCTAAGAAGAAATATAGACAAATATAGAAACTCATTTAGCACTAGGAATTCCTTCTCATTAACTAAACGATTCTGGTTTTAGACCACCTTCAGGCCATGTGAGATGAAGTCCAATGATACGGAACGCTTTCTTCTCTTTTCCTCTCTCTGCTTCATCCTAGGACTGAATGAGAACAAGCCTGTTTTCCAATAAGTACACAGACAAGAATCAGAACAGGCTCGCTTCGAATCCAGTGTGTGAAACTAGTAGATATGTGATCTCTGGGAAGTTCCTACCCTTTCTGAGCCAGTTTTCCTTGGTAACAATGAAAAGAATAATAGTAACACCTTCTGGGGAGGTTGTAATAGTCAAATGAGGTAATATGAAGTGCTGAGCATTATGGCCCACAGATAGCTCAATCAATGTAAAATGTTATTATTACTGTTACTGTCATCATCGTCATCATCATCATCACCTTATCACTTTGAATTACTATGGTCTGATCTCTCAGACACAGATTCTAATTTTGCTAACAGAGTATCATTTGTTCTACAAATGCATTCTCCCATGAAGGTTTTGAGTAATGAAGCCAGACAAATATTTCCATCCCAAATCTTTGGTTATTTGATCACTCCCATCAGACCAAAACCTAATTATTAAAACTGTTTTATATTTGAATACAAAATACATGTGTATCTCCTCCTTTAAACCTAGCCTATTCCAAAACTTTCTCCTTGGGTCGTGAGGGCTCCCTATGGAGTTGGAGCTTGGCAGTTTCAAGGAAGGAACAAGTGGATGTAGTTACAATTCAGCTTGGATGGACCTGACCTTCATTGGTGTGTGGGCCCAGAACCCCGGGAAATTCAGGCTCCTGTGGGGAAGAGCCATCAATCAGCCTGGGGGTGGACTCCTCCTCCTCCTCCTCCTCCTGGGCCTCCTCTGGCTGTGGGGGTGGGGTCAGGAGCTCTCTGTTCCCCGAAGGCATCACTGTCACTACTTCAGTCTGAAAAAGAAGCAGAATTCATTCCATCAGGCAACCTTCTCAATCACCCTGTGTGGCAGTGACACAACTTAAAAATGTTCCCATCTTTGCCACAAGAGGTCATTCGTGTTCTGAAGTTCAACACGGTATGGTTTGCTTGCCTGGGAGGGCACATGTGGTTCTAATTACAGCTATTGTTGTTTTTAATTAATTTGGTTTCTCAAATCTTAGTAATAGTTTCCAATGCCTTTTTTCTTTTGTCTTTTTGCTCTTTTAAACATCCTGGTATGTTTATTTCATAGGTTTTAAAAAAAACTTATTTATTATTTTCTAAATATATAGCCTTACAAGAATGCATTATTTTTGTGAAAGATTCAGATTAATCCAGAAATGTGCAAAATAAAATCCAAAAGTCCCCTTCAGCCTGCAGTGCTAATTCTACTCCTGTTGAAGACAATGACCAGTTAGAGATTGACGTGTATGTTCCAGTCCTTTCAATCTTTGGTCTTCTAGGTTCAAATATTCTGTTCCTTTGTGAAAACTCATACTTCTTCTAATTGTATTTTACTGAAAAGTATCCTTTCTACTAAAATAAAATTTATGGAGACATAAAAGCTTTATGATTTTATTATAACATGCCATTTCTCATATATTTTCAATATTATTTTAAATACCAAGTATTACCAACAATATTTGGGCATGTTAAAATGGACCTTTTTGAGAGCTTTTACAATAGGAGGCATTCATAAGTTTGAAAAAATTCTCAAAGATGTTTTCAGAAATTATGTTTTAGATTACACTTGCTTTTGTCCTTATTTGCATATTTTGAATAATGAGGTTGTTGCTTCTAAGAGGGCTGTTTGCATTTAGAATAACCCCTCACTCTCCCATCTCTTCTTTTGTCTCGATGTCTATTCCTTCTATTAGCTATTTGACAACCGTGTAAGTTTGGACAGGAAATCTGCTCAAGACAATTGGCTGGGCAAGAAGCAGGACCCACCCTTTGGGGCCTAGTTTCTTCATGGCCTTCCCCAGAAATCCCAGATTCTCCTCTGACCACTCTGAAAGGAGCTTTTGCCCCTTTCCACCCACTTCTTTAAATAAAGCGAAACATTTTCACTAAAAAAGCAAAATAATGCACAAATTACTTTCTAACTTATTTAATGTCAAAATGACACGCCAACTACTACTCTCCCGTATAAAATAGGCACCTTAATTGGGCCAGATATTTTCTGGACATTTTAAATAGATGTCTCAGATAACCATAACATTTTAAAGATACACATTATTTAATGTCATTTTTGATCATTTTGAATACAGTGCTTCGCAAATGAAAATTACCCTTTTAAAGAAACACTACACTTTCTTTTGTCAGTCTGAATTGTTTCTCCTGTGCTTTTGTAGTCTCTCCGTTCGGGCCCTTCCTACACTGTGTTGTGTTGCTTCCATCAGTCTTCTACCTTTCCAAGCCTACTAGGTGGTGTACTCTGAGTTGTGTCTCTTGTCTTTGTACCTCAAGGCTGTAGCATAATAGGCAATCAACAAGTACTTATTGAAGTATAGAAAAAACAAATTTGCTTGTCCAAAATATATCTAATTCACAGCTCTATGCTTACTTTAGAGATTTTGCTGGGAAGAATCAATGAGCATGTTAATGCTTACTTTAATGCACTGAAAGCATAAAATCAAACCAAAAGCAAATCATACTGCATTTGTGCATTAGGAAGCCAAAGTGAAGATATTATAAAAGTTGGCTAGAAATCTCCACTTGAGAAGATTGGGCACACTTCCTTAAAGAGAGAGACATACGGTTTCCATCTGTAGGGTCAGAATGAGGCAGATTCAAAAGGAATGGATTTGCAGAGAGACCAAAAGGAGGCTCCAGGAAGAGCGGAAATTAAGACAGATGTTTCATGGAATGGAGGCAGCCTAAAGGGAGAAACACATTCCAGACATGTTGCCTTGAATCTTTAGCTTTGCAGGAAAAATGTTTGCACATACTTTTTACAGATCATTGTTTTTCCACTGATTTGATGTGAAGCTGTAAGATCTCACGTGTCATCCAGTATAATGAGGCAAAACAGCTTTTGTGTTTACCAGAAACTGTTCTGTTCATGCTTACTTGCTAATAAAATGTGAATGCTGAAAAACTTTTAAAATCAACGGGGAGAAATGCCTTCTCAGTTCAGCAAAATTGCAGATCTATAACCTCAGAGTACTGTGCGTGGACAGCCTTTTGCATTGCAGACATATTTATTCGCACTGTTGAATGAAGTGATTTAGCTTTCCGTCTTTTTTCCTCTTTTAACAAATTTCATACTGTGATATGTTTGGAGGCAATGCATGCAAAGACATGCAGCCAGGGAAACAGGGCGGCCTGGCTCTCCTTGTGGCAGCCTTTTGTGCTTATGCTGCAGAAACCTAAATTTGGGCATAAACACAAATTGCCAGAAAACATTCCTGCCTCTTTTCTCAAGCTACAATTGGTAACACTCAAATGCAAATATAACTGAGCCTCTGATATAAATATTAATTCTTTCGAAGTTTTCCTCCATTCTTTTTCCTTTTACCTTCTTATTTTACTTTGACTTGCTTCCTACCGATTTGACTTTTTAATCTGTTCATGATATTTCCCTAAAGTTTAAAAACACAATACAAAGTGTCACTCCTACATATGACCTTGAGCTTAGTCACTACTGTACTTGAATATCTTCTTAGACCTAGTACCAGCAGGGTACGTTTCTGAGTTGATTGGTTTGCAGTAAGTTGTCCATTTCTAGTCTCTTAATTACCTGGTCCTAGAACTATAGATAATTTACATCATGGCAGACTGTGCTTGCTAGTACCTTCCATGTCCTTGCAAGGGCGTACCTATACCAGAGATGACAAACGAGTAGGCCACAGAGGGAGACCTGAATAGAGTGAGGTCTCAGCAGATGTCAGCCTGGAAAGATAATAGTGCAAAGAAAGGAGTCCTCAGGCCTGCCTCAGCCTCTGCACCCTGCACAGCCTTGACTCCGTGTAGACAACCCAGCACCTCAATACAATCTTGGGGTAAAGGAGACTGAAATGACCCTGAAGTGTCTCAAAGTTTCTGCTCCCTGGAGAAATAAGGCCTCTCAGCAGGAAATAATTCAGTTACATTTCTTGTCCCAGATTATGTGTACTGAGACTTTTACTGGCGATATTTCTATTGTTATTAATAACGCTGCAAAATATCTGAGACCTTCATTCTCCGATAATCGGCAGAGCTGTCCATAGAAGAATCTTTCTGTAAAAGTACTCAGCACCATTGTAAGTGACAATAACATTTGGTTAAAAGTAATTTTAATGAAATCCATGTATTATTTAGCAAAAAACCCATCTAAATGATCAATGTAACCATGTTGCTACCGTTAAGTCTACTTATTTTATTTGTCTTAATTTTAGGGTAAAAAAATGAAAAATTAGTGTGTTCAGAAACAGCAGTCATGCTTCCTCCTGATTGCCTCATTTGCCACTGAATCCCTTCAGTACAAACTTCTTGTCAAACAGGCACATCATACTTGTTTAGGGCAGTCACGAATCATCTGCTACTGTTAAGCATTGTGTTTCAATCAATACAACAATGTGTTTTATTTTTTGGTATTTTAATAGTTTTTATTCTCAGCACTTAATCTGCAGCTAAGTTTCCAGTGAGGAACTCAATGAAGATGTAATATATGTGTGATGGAAAGAATCCTATGAAAGAATTCAAGTTACTCAGATTTGATTCCTACCTTTATGAATGAGTGAGAGGATCAGGAAACGAATGTAAGAATTTGTAAATGATGGAAGGTTTACCAGTTTTTACAGTTATCTAATCAACGAGGCTGAATGTCTATGTCAAGCATTACACTTAAGTTATGATCCCCTGTCCATTTTATTTGTCCTTATTATTTTCTAAACGTCTGTCAATGCCGTTATTTTTTCTCCCTGTCTACCACCATTACCATAATCTAAGTTACTATCCTCTCTTGCCTGAAATACGACAGTAGTCTACTTACAGGAAGTTGGGATCTCCTCTGGTCTGCATTCACTCTGCAGTGAGAATAAACTCTTAAAAGGATGAAATTGATCATGTCAACCCCTCTTAAAATCCTTTAATGGCTTTTTTTGTTCTTAATAACCACAAGAACAATGGCCTAGCAGAAGTGCTGTAACATATTGGGTAGGAGGAAGGATTCAGACTAGATGAGTCGGAATCTAGCCTAGCTGTGAGACCTTGGGCACGTTACTTTACCTCCCTGAACCCAGATTCTCTGTTTGTAAAATCCTCTTATAAATAGTACAGCTGTGTTAGGATGAAAATGTTAATACCCACAAAACACTTAGAATAATGTCCACACATAGTAAGTGCCATGGAAATGTTTACTACTATTTTTAGAATAAATGCAAAACTTTTTTACTTATAGGGTCCTCCTCATGGTTTGGCCCTTCTGGTGTCCTCTTCCTCCATCTCATACCAATTGTGCTCTTTTGCTGCACTGGCCATCTTTAGTTTATTATGCTCTTCTTCTGTAGGACAATTGCATGAACTAGTCATTCTGCTTGGAACTCCTTCCATTCCCCATATTTTTTTTTCCAAATTCATTTGATTTTTAAACAACTCTACTGAAGATATAATTGATATACAAAAAACTGCACATATTTAATGTGTACAATTTGATGAGTGTGGATATATGCAAACATCTGTGGTGCCATCACCACAATTAAGGTAATAGACATATCCAACACCTCCCAAAGTTTCCTTGTAACTAACGGTTTCTTTTTTCCCTCATATCAAGTTGAAGTCTTACATCCTTGGAGAAGTGTCTCATGATCTATCTGACTTAGACAAACGTGTTTGGTGGCTCTCAGAGCATTGTGTACTTTTTGTTGGCACATCTACTGTTGCATTTGTGGTACATTTTTTTTTAATTGTTGCAATTATTCCCTTCCTTAGATCCATGCCCCTTTGCAAAATGACTTTTCAGCTCCTATAATCAATAAGTAGAGGCTTAATTTCTCATCCCTTGAATTTTAAATTTAGACTGGCCTTCTGATTTGTTTTAGTCAGCAGAATATATTGATGTTGTGTCAGTTTTGTGGGTAGTTCTCCGGGAACATTGCTTGTTTCCATTTGCTCTCTAGGAACCCTGCTCCTTTGTCATATGAACAAGCTGGGGCCAGCCTGTTGGAAGATGAAAGAACACATGGAGTAGTGTGCCTAGCAATTAAGAGGCCTCCTGATCAATACTGTTGCATCAGTACAGGTAAATAATGGCAACTTTTGATATTTTAAGCTATTGTTTTGGATATCAGAGTAACAAGATATCTTAACATTCTAAACATGCATGAGAGAGCAGGTATAAAAAGAGATTAGTTATGGCTCAGACATCTCCATGTCTGCCAATAGACCTTCATTGTAGATGCAAACATATTGTCAAAGGAAACTAAAGGAGATGTGCTTTGACTTCATTTGATGAAACTGGTTTTGAATCTACTGCTGATCCAAAGATGTTGGTTAAGCGCGGTCTATATTTGAGAGAATGATGGAATTATACACCCAAAGTCAGAGCCACTCCATTGCATAACTCCTAGAGGCACTATTTATTTGGCATTGCATGTGAATGGTTCTCCCTGGATTACAGAATGTGATGACACTGCCTGAGTACATGTTAACGCTAAGTCATCAGTTAATCAGTCCTGACACCCAAGTTTCCCTTAATTTTCTTCATATCCTCTTTATGTATACTCCCTACAATTTGACAAAGCATCCCAACTTAGGCAGAGATGGGAAAATATTTTACTAATCTTTTCTTTGCTTATGTGTGCAGTTGAGAAAAAGGACAGTACACTAAATCTCCGAAGACAGAGAAAGTATGAATATACTGAGATCCTTGTTGACGCATTTATTTTCATTGAAGAATGAAGATATAATTATTTCTATTAGGATAGGAAAAATAATGCAGATTTTAGTGTAGATATACATAGAGTTGGGGATAGTCATAGTGACGTCCCCACTCAAGAAACTGAAGTTACATTAGATAGTTCTCATGATGTAAAACTGATCTTAAAAATGCACAATGAGACAAACAACTTCTCCCAAGCCCTCAGGAGCATCTCCTTGACTCTTGACTCGTTAGTGATGATAATACAGCTAAAGAAAGAAAAGTAAACTGAAGAAGATAGCCTAGACAATTGAGTTCAGGGGAGAATAGTAGGTTATTGTGGCCAGCATTGTTTGGAGGAGAGAAATATTAAAATTGTTGAGCATAAACAACACAGTCACTAAACAGATCATCTCTAACATGGGGAAGAGAGATTTTACTGGATCTTATCATGGGCTAGATGAAAATAACAGGGATGGATTGAATACTCACCATCTATGAGAACCTGCTATGCTCTTCATTGATTCTCATGTCATTCTCAGAACAACCCTATGCAGAAAGTATAATCATCGTGCACATTTGATAAACTTGTAAATGGAGGATGGGAGGCGGGAGGACTAAGTAAATTGCTGAGGTTACACAGCTAAGTGGTAAGGCTAGGATCTAATCAGCCCTGCCAAAGGACTGCTCAACTTCCTTAACTTTAATTCTCTACACAGCCAAATAAAATTCTGCTGAGTAATCTAACTCCTTAGGCACCTTCATTCTGAGTGAAAGGGGGTACGGATAGGGAGAGTGAGCATTCGCATCACTGGGAAATGACTATTCACATTACAAACTCATTAATGGACTTTCTTGTTCATATTGTAAGCCTCATGTGATTTTCGCTTGGCATCATTCATCAGCCCACAGTCTGATCTGATCATGACTGATTGTTTGTCAGTTGCTGAACCTGAAGGCTGAAGACTGTACCAACGCCATCTAGGCCCATGGGAGCACTTGGCAGTCAATTAATCTTTTAATCTTTTCCTGAAATTGGCAGGTATGAAGAATATCACATAACATTGATGTAGTTGGATTGTAAAATCCAAGCAGCATTTATAATAATTTTCTCTCACTTTTGTGAGTAATAAGTATTATATCAGAATGAAACTTTAGCCTTGTTAAACATGATGGTTAAGACAATTCATGTATTCACCACATTGTTTCATTTTCCTCCTGGGCATTCAGCTAAAATACATTTTCCATTTTCTTTGAATCTAGATTAGATCATGTGGCTAGTTCTAGCCAATTGAATGGGAGAGGAAGTAATGTGCCACATCTGGTCTGAATCAGTGAAGGGCAAGTAGACTTTCTCCACATTATTTCTCTTCTCTACGTTTGTCAACACAAGATACCAGTGTGACCTTGAACTCCCAACATGAAGATGGTGAACTTCTAGCATGAAAGAAGTTTGAATCCCTGAATACTACTTGGAGGCCAGCAAACCTGTTGACCTGCATGAGAAGTCATGTCAGCAAGACATAAATTCTTTTGTGTGTTAAGCCACTGGGATTTTGGAGTTGTGTGTTGCAAGTGCTAATGTAGGTTGCCCTAATATAGACATTTTCAATTTTTGTTTTCTCTTATCCATTTCTTAATTATACTAAGGGAATAATTTTTAACATTGTTATGGGCACATATCATTGACATTAGAAAAAAGTAAATGCACTTTCTTTTGTCTCTCTGGCCTTCTGATTTCTCTTTTACAAACAGCTGTCCTTTGATCTTGGTTATCTGCTGTAGTACTTACGGAAATATTACACCACCAAATTTGAGTGAATTCACCATTATTTTAATTAATTTGTTTTTAAATCTCAATATTTTATTAACTTAATTTAGTCAAAATTGGGGCCGGCCTGGTGGCATAGTGGTTAAGTTCTCACACTCGGCTTTGGCAGCCCAGGGTTCACCAGATTGGATCCTAGGTGCAGATCTACACACTGCTCATCAAACCATGCTGTGGTGGCATCCCATATACAAAGTAGAGGAAGATTGGCACAGACGTTAACTCATGGGCAATCTTCCTCACCCAAAAAAAAAAAAAAAAAAAAAGCCAAAATTAGTAAATCTATATAATGAATAAATGTCTGCCAGTCAAATATCAAAACTAGTCAATGGCTACTTTTTTACATCAAAATAGCATAAAATAATCATAACATTTGATATTGATTTGCTCGGATGTATATACCCACCTATGAAAAATATAATGCTTCCTTCCTTAGTTTTTTTTCTTTTTGAGGAAGATTAGCCCTGAGCTAACTCCTCCTCTGCAAAAAGGAGGTCTGGCTCTGAGCTAACTTCCATGCCCATCTTCCTCTACTTTATATGTGGGACACCTACCACAGCACGGTGTGTCAAGAGGTGCCATGTCCACACCTGGGATCTGAACCAGCGAACCCCAGGCTGCCGAAGCAGAATGTGCACACTTAACCTCTGTGCCACCGGGCCAGCCCTCTGCTTTCTTAGTTTTTAAAAAATCAATCTTAATGGATGGTTATTCTTCATAAATTCATAACTCTAAATGGTAATGCTTCTTTGTATTCAATGCAATGTTTAAGTGAAAAATTCAATGCAAGAGAAACAAGAGCTGAAGAGTTGAAGGTTTCATTTACTCATACCCTCTCTAGTTTATGTCTCTTCTGGGACCTCAGCATTTTTTTTCTTTGTTCATGTGTTTATTTTCTCATTTCCTTTTCTTGTTGTCAGAAAATGACAATATTCCACTTGTAGTTGCCAGAAGGATTTTTTGCCTCAGTTTTATCCTAGTTTATTCAGGACTCCATTCACCATTGTCCCCTTAGGCTCCAGAAACTTAATAGGTTTCCAGTATCTTAGTTCTTACAAAATGTATCATCTAGTTCTAATTGAGTGTCTCCAAATAATATTGCAGGGAACTTTGGCAAAGGCTTTAGAAACATCCACTAATGGCAAAGTCAGTTCATATTCCCTTTTCCCTCACTGCCCTTGTTCCCCAAGTAAGGTTGCCAAAAGGACAATTTAGTGTGGGCTGAAATCAGTAATCTCATGAGGATGGGGGTAGGAGGAGAGAGTCAGTCACAGTAATTGAAAACAAAGAAGTTGGACTGAAAACCAAGATATTTGGAATCTTCCAAACTCTAGCTCTCTATTTTATGATGGAGTAATTTAGTAATTTTTTCTAGTTTCAGCCTGTCCCATCCTAACACACAGCAAATTGTTCCTCCTAACACATACTTTATTGAGGCACAAAGAAGAATAAGCCATGCCTTTTAACATGGAGAACCGCTCTGCATAAATGTGCTATGCGCTCATGGTGATGATGATGATGATGTACGTATCACCAAACAGAAATTACAGACATTTTGAACAGGAAAGTCTGTGCACTTACAGAGGATGTCCCAGGACCAGCTACTAGACAATTGCCTTTGAAAGAGACAATTATTACATTAAAATTGTTTCTACTATCCAGTATCAGTGGTAAAGCCGTGCAAAATTTTACAAATTTGGAAGCCTGACTTTATCTCTTGGGGCAGAATTACTTTAAACAAATTCAAAGACTGTACTAAACCAGCATGCTGACTTGAATCCTCTTATTGCTCCCAATATATTCTCTGTACTCTCTGTAGTCTCATTTGAGATACTAATTATAATCAAAAGATCGTTGATGACCATAGAACCAGAACAAAGGACTTTAGTAAGTCAGCTCTATAATAGCACAAGGAAAATGAATGGCTGTTTTCCAAGGGATCAAAATCTTTAAATCTGTTGATTATCATAAGTTTTTGCAGTCACTAGCATTACAGAAATCATCCTGCCACTAGGAGAAGGCTGCTGAATAGTAGTTAACTGGCTTTGACAATATTCCACTCTATGATCTTTTTTCTCTCCCTACCAAAATGTACCAATCCCTTTCAATCTCCATTCTATATATATTATAGTTTCAATATAGTTATAGTAGAAGGATTTTTATCTGAAGTGTCCTGGATTTGATTTCTTGCATATTTATGTCTTTAATCATTTTTATGTCATAACTTCAAAGAGAACAAACATGAAAGATTTGATCCAGCCTCAGTATCATTTAGATATATTTTCTTTGTTGTAAGTATTAAGAAATGGAGTGTATAATGTATATCTGCATGCATATCATTTACCTCTTTAAAGCCCACACTGGATGTTAGCGAAGAGATTGGGATGATGTCATTGTGATTACCCTCTAGAGCCCACCTATCTGCATCTTACACCGAGTCATTGACATCACAAGCCAATATTTGTACAATGTGGTGGATGACAGGTTTACTAAACAATAATTCTTGAACTATTCCAATGCCTCCGTGTGCGTGAACCTTAATAAACATAGTGTGAGTCTCTCTGCTCCTAGCAAACTCAAGACAGAGTTTACCACAATTTGCCCTAGGAGAGTTAGAATGAGAAATTTGTGGAATTAGGGAAGATCTAGTGAAAATTAGGCATATTAAAGGAGGACAAAGCAGGACAAAAACAGGTCAAGTCCAATCCTGGGTTAGAAATTAGTATGAGGGGAGAACATGTCCAGTGTAGGATCATCCAACTCAGAAATATGAAGATTTCCCCAAATTTTTTTGGACACTGTTACTTTTGGTGGATTTATATGTTACTGACTTTTTATCTATCTTCATGGAATATGCCACAAGATAAAATCTAGAGGACTATGCTAGAAAAACAAAAGTCTGAACCAGAAAAGAAAAAGTCACTTATGTAGCACAGAGTACTGGAGAAGTAAAGCAACCAAATTAAAAAGCATATTAAACTGGTTAAACAGAAATAGTAACTGACTCACACTGAAAGAATAGCTGAGGGAAGTCAAATACCAAATCTGGGTCCCACCCACAGAGATTCTGATTTCAATAGTATGGGGTGTGGCTCAGGAATTAGGGTTTTTAAAAACTCTAGAGGTGGTTCAAATATATGGTCAAGTTGCGAACCACCACATTACAGAGGAAACTTATTCTGCAGAACAGGATGTAGGAGACAGTAATGCTAGTAAGTCCTGGAACTTTGGAATGTTGAGTAACATCTCAATCAGAAGAGGGTAGAAGGATTGCTTTTCACTGGGTTCCCAGGGACCACAGGCTTCAGAATCATCAACAGCAGCTTTAGTTCAGGAATCTGCTGAGATTGATTCTCCAACTGGAAAAAAAAAAAAATGGGGAAGAGGGGAAAACTCTCTAAGGAGGCTGATTTCTTGAATTCCTTAGCAGGAAGTGAGGGTAGAAGCCACTGGGGGCATAGCTTCCAGGCTGGAGAACCCCGCTGGATGAAAATTCTCACTTACAAGAAATTCTGTCTCCTGACGGAACACACGCTCAATGAAGCATCTGGTGCCAGAAACTCAAGGGTTGGCAGGAAAATGGGAATTCAAAAGCCTTGAATATGCAGAAAGAAAGAGAAAGAAGCTTCGGGTAGACCTGGTGACTGGGCCTGCCACCATTGTATGTTTGCAAACTTTGCTAGAAAACAGGAATATCTCAAATGCTACTCTGAGAGGAGAGATGTTTCCTAGTTCAGTGCTGCTTATACCACAGAAGCATCAGAATGACCTGGAGAGTTTGTTAAATGACTGATCGCTGGGTCTCCCTCTGGAGTTTCTGATTCATTAGGTCTGGAGTGGGACCTGAGAATTTGCATTCCCGACCAGCTCCCTAGTGATACTCATGCTGCCAGTTCAGGAACTACACTTTGAGAACAGCTGCTCTAATAATGGTAAAACAGTGCCAGAATTTAACTCCTCGTGGTAGATTTCTCCAAATTGTGTTTGAGCTCAAAGTTTGCAGACTGGAGACTATGAACACCAGCCTGTCTACATCTGGATGAGGCTAAACCAGGATCTCTTTCGTCTTCTGACTTCTCAGATACCAAGTCTCTTCTTAAGTCTCTGGCAAGACTATGTACTGGTTTGGGGAATATACTTTTACTTAGAATAACTATTTTAGAGACTCAGGATGAACTTGTTCTTTAAATTTGATGGGAGTTGGCGTCAGTGTTGTAATAATATTGTGTGTGCAATTAATGCTTCATTCTCTTTAAATATCAAGGTCATGGAACACTTGGCAATGAATTAATAATTTATGTGCCTCTGAAGAAACTGTATCTGTATTTGGAGGAGTCCACTCAGGTTGTAGTTACTGAAAGAATCCAGCTTGACCTAGGCGCTCAGAATCCATCCAGCCGAGATGAGGTCAAAGTAATTGAGAAAGGGAAATTTTAGACTGCATATTCTTTGGACTTTTAAATCACAAAGCAAGTAATTTTGATTTTGTACTATAATCTCTTTGGATTTAAACAAGTTTAGACTTTAGTTTGCAGGAGAAGTCAATGTGTAGTCTTTTATTTTTTCTCAAAAACTTCATAGAAGTTGGGGAGCTATATACAACATTATGTCATCTTTATGTTTCTGGAATTGTATCATCGGAGTATATTTACTTAGCATTTAATTTCATTGCAGAACTTCTCAGCAGCTCTATTCTTAGATAATGTGCTTTGATATAAGCTGAGGTAGAACAAAGAACTGAGAGTGAAATTTCAGTCTCAAGTACAGAGAGGCCTTTGAGATAAATTCATTAATGGTCTTGGATCCATTTCAGAGCTTCTAGGGTCAAAATCTACATTCTGCCAGAGCACACCTAAGAGTGGTGGTTGGCATGAGGATAGGTCTCATGAAGGTGGGAACACAATTGTCTTTAAAATGGACTGATTGTGTCTCTTGAAAGAGAGAGCTATGTTGAACTTAATGGTTAAGCCTAATGGCTTGAAAGCCCGCCATCCTGAGAGGGCGCCTCTGCTGTCTGCTCCTTTACTCCCTCCTCCCAAGGGAGGAAGAATGACAGGGCTAATTGGTGATCTGATCGGGAGATGGGACTAGGTCTAGGTGGTTTATTTTCCCCTTGAGAGGAATTGCCTGTCTGTCAAGAGCATACATTCTGTTTTGTCCCTCCATGTGCTAAGATTTCCTGAATCAGGTGCTGTTCTGAGGCCTGTCGTCAACCACCATTGCCTGAGACTGATGGCATAGTCTATTTCTGGAACTTTGTATTAGGAAGCCTATAGTTGCTTCACACCTAAGTCATATATTTCAACTTAACCTTTCTCAGTAGTAAAGGGGGTATTTTGAGCTCTATTTGTGTGAGTCCCATTTCTGTCTCTCAACTGATTCTGAAGTTAGGTAGGGCATAGGAGGAGCACGTATTAGATTCCTTAAAATCTAACACTTATTGCCTAGAAAAACTTCAATATTATATGTATCTGTATGTGTTATAATACAAAATAATATACATTCTCATCTATGTACCTGACTCCTGGCTTCATATTATGTTCTAAACTCTTATTTTTTTCTTTGTCTCACTTTCTATTTACATTTTTCATACCATAATGTAACATAACACAAAAATAATAAGATATAAGATGTGATATTATGGATAATATAAGACAATGTACTCTATATTATATATTTTTGTAAGTTATTTTACAAGGTAATACTATTAAACAGATTATATTTTTATCTATATTTATATTTATTACATATATCTATTTCTGTACACATTATAGCATTTATTCACTTAAATACTGTTCAGAAAAGGTGGCAGATAAGCTCACAAGTAAAATAACTTATATCTCAGGTTTACTGTCAGCTCTAAAGCTGATGACAGATTTGGGAATGTAATTTCTCAGCATATGTATTTTGTGACTGAACTCATAGATACCTTATATCCCAATAGATAACTACAGATCTTGTTTATATTTACCTATTTTCACTTCTTCTATTGTGTTGAAATTGTGTATTTATAAGATGACTAGACTGGGAGGTACTGAGGGATGGCGGGGAACTTGGTATAATTTACCTACCCCAATTCCTGGCTCTCATCAAAAGATTGGTAAGTGGATCTAAAACGCACTCATGCCCAATGGGTTTAGCCTTCATTTCAGCTCCAATCCCATCCTTTCCACAAAGGCTCCCCTGATCACCAGTGCATAAGCTTCAGTGGCTGTTGATTGAATGAATGATTTGATGGTAAAGCTAACACTTATTGAACACTTGCTATGTGCTAGGCCTTAAGTTAAACAGTTAACAAGTTTTTCTCATTTAATCCTCACAAAGTATCTTATAAATAGGAAGCTGAAGCTCAGAGGAATTGTATGACTGTCCAAGGCCATACAGTTGGTGTGACAGATCTGGGACTCAGACACAGGGAGTCTGACTCCAGAGCCCATGTCACTGAACATTGTGACAAACCACCTCCCAAGAATGTAACAGGTGTATACATGAGCAACACCCAAAGCTGATGGGTTCTCCTACCATGCTTTGTAGAGTGAGTGTTTATGGTTTAAGTACTCAGGCAAAGCCAGACTTGGAAGTAAAGGTCCTCACCCATTTATTTGCTTAGTGTAGGATCCCGCTGTGCCAGTCAGTTCCTAACCAGTAAGCCTAGTTCTTCAGCAGATAGTATTTAAGTTATTGATTTCTCTCCCATTTTTTAAAAAAGATATTTGAAATCCAGAATGTTATTTGGATTTTTACTCTAAGCACAACCTAAGGTTTTTGTTAAACCTTTGTTTAAAACAGAATTTTAAATTTATCTTTCTCCCAAATTGTCTTACAAGGTTGATAATAACTCTTGAAGCTATTCTTTGTTACTATTATGTCAACAGTTGGTTTCCAAAGGTGTTAAAAGGCTCCTAGCTGTTCAGCCTGGGTTACTAAAGAAAATTCCTTTGAGTTTCACATACTGGCATGTTGATATGTTAAGCACAATGGAATTCTGTTCTAAAGATTAGTCTGTTACTCAAATTGATTTAAGCGATCCGTATTAATTATCTAAAAGAATTTGACCATGAACACTGGCAATGAAAGCTGTATCTTCTTTTCTATTTTATCTTGAAAATGGATGAAGAAGAAATGTGTTTGGCAAAGATTGCTCAATCCCCATATTTCTCACAAAGCAGCTTTCAGTTCAGAAGGATCATCTTACCTCTCACTCCCTTAAATACTTTGACAGCTAAGAGAGATGCTTAAATATTGTGTCAATTGTAATCACTTGAAAATTCTTAATTTTCTAATTCCTAATTGTCAAACTACTTAATTTCAGGAGAATGAAAACCCAATATTGGACCCAATATTTACTCAAAGAAATAAAGATGAAAGAGAAGAAGCAAGAAAATAATGGAGGCTTTTAGTGCCAAAGTTTCTTTGGTTTGGCATTAAAAGAATCTGGTTTAAATTTTACTCTGAAACTTACTAGCTGAGTAACCTTGGACAAAATTCTGATCCTCAGTTGTTTCCATTAATAATAATAGTAATAATGGAATAATATCTTATTTCAAGGGATAGTTATGGGAATTAACTTACATCTGTGGTCTCATAAATAATGCATAGTACAAATACAAATAAGTCACTGGCAAAGGCTATCAGTGTTCTCTTGGTTTCCTGTGAGCCTACATAATTGTATATTTTTGTTGCTTCATTTTTTTAAGATTTTCAAATAGCTTAAAATCAGAATCAAATGCTTTCACACTGTTTTTAAAAGAAGCATATGGAAAGTCGATCAACAACCATATTAAAAGCTCATCAGGCAGATTCTTCCCTCCCTCCCTCCAGAGCATCTTCAGTGAAGAGGGAAAATGAAGATTAGCTTTTATTTTTTGCCAAATCCTGAAAAGAATATTTAATTCAGACTGACTGAGTTAAAGTTCTTCCAATAAAAAGGGTTTTATATGCAAACCATATGTTTGAAACTTTAAAACATATTGTATAAATTGGCCAAAGTGAGAGATAATTGCAAATATAAAGATAAAAGTATTGCATGTCTTTTGTTACTGGAGGAAAAAATGCTAGAAATATTACTAATTTAATTACTTTTTGTTCAGAAAATACAAAGATGATTTTTGAGACATTACCCATCATCATTAAGAAAGTTCTATATCAATTTATTATATTCAGATAACCTAAATAAAAATTCTTTTTATATATCGTTATCTAAATTAGATAGTGATTATATAAGTAGTCCAAAATTAGTTTAATTCTACTTCAGCAGTTTCTGGTCTGAGGGACATCAGTGTATAGTCTAAAATGATTTTGCATGATGCCATGTTATCATGATGACAAGTGAAAAGAAACCATCGCTCAATTGTTACTTGATGCAACTGCCTTCAATGAGTTCTCTCCCATTCCTAGAACTCCACTAAATTTAATGTTCATTCCTTTGATGAATCTTATAGTGTCTTCATCTCTAAAAGCTATCTTCAAGCTGATTTTAAAATCAGGAATGATTTTAAACAATGTGGTTTACTTGTTCTCTCTATGAAAGAGAAAAATTGGCCTTAATTTTAAGATCAATGAAGAGTAATAGCAAGGGAGGCATCCTTCATTCAAGAAATTTCCTATTGGTCAATTATTACTTTTACTTCTTTATTAGTTGTTATTGCTTTCTACTTATGAATGCATATCCCAACTTATTCCAGAAACAATATGCGGTGGTTTTAAAAGCATGTATGGTAATACTTCAAACAATTGACATGAGGAGATTAGGACAACAGGAAAATAAAGGTGGGGGAGATAATATGAAATGAGGCAAGAATGAGGCAAAAAATTAGGCTCCAGGTTTCTGAGTAAAATGAAAAACACAATTAATTACAAGATGTAGAGCACAGAAAATAAGCACATTTCTTAAAAGTTGCAACCCATTCTGACACTGACACCTGAGAGAAATTTCTCCTCCACATCTTCATGAAGAGCATTTACAATGACCTTCACATCATCCTACAGTAAATACAATCAAGTGCTCCACAGGGCTCTGTAGTATAACATTCTTGGTGTTTACTAAAGATGCAGGGACATTGCAGATGCAATTAAGTAAAACTAATTATGTAAGACTAAAATCAGTTGGTATAGACAAGGAGAAGCCTAATTGTCTAAATGGAGCTGAGGACATTTTACCAGAGGAATGGAAGTTCATATCCTTCACTAGAGCCTCCATAAATATTAATACAGACACTGAGTACTCTTCTGGACAAAGGAAATTACTCATGGACAGGTCAATGTTTTTCTTAGACCTGAGAGAAATGAACAATCAACAATCTAAAAACTATACCGTGAAAACAGATCTTATCAACAACACAGTCTCAATTTAAGCCACTCAAAGAATACCAAATTCTGAGCTATGTAGTTTTCTGATGAACTCTTTAAGGGAAAATACTTCCCTGGATACTGGACCACCAGATATGTGAGATACATACACGTTGCCCATAACGTGGACAAATGTTGGAGAGTGCCTATCCGTAATTATTCTTTGAGGTAGTTCGTCTTAAGTCATTCTTTCACACAATAATTAGATAACAGTCAGTTGTCTATAAAGGTTACTTCTGGTTCACGTTATTCACCCATAGGAGAATGCTTTTCTTTCTCTTTTAGGAGTGTTGGAGCACCTGGCATTCAGTTCAACTAAAATTGATATAAGTTAAAAGGCCAATTTTGAGAATGGTAAAAAATGGAGGAAGGGTAATACAATATTATCTCAACCTATTGAAAATTATTTTTTGATGTGAGATGACATCATTATGATTATATACCATTAATAACTGTGTAATTTTAGCCAAGTTACTTAGTTGCTCCTTGTCTCAATATCCTCATCTAGTCAATGGAAATAACAATGGTACTTCATAGCTTTGTTGTGAGAAACAAATGAGATAATACATATGATATGTCTAGAACAGTATCCAACATGTAATAAGTCCTCGATTAAGGTTAGCCATTATTCACTAGGAAGAAAAACGTCTATATTTTGGTCTTATAGCCTATATTTTGGTCTTCAAATTTTACCAATAAATTTATCTGCTGGGTAATATAGAGCACTGTGATGGACTTGCTGGGCCTAAAATCTGCTCCTAACATAGAATCCAGTGGATCCTGGATATTCTAGATCATTAGAAATCACATAAGTCATCACTCTGGAAGATTATTACTGCATATAACTTTCAAAACCAGAAATATTTCATGACCTTTTCCAACCACCAAGGAGATAATGAATATACTACCGCCAGTAGGAATCAACAAAGCTCTATTGAGATTCTTACCCTGGGGATGGTGGGCGATCTGGCTCATTAACTAGATAAATCACTGGACTCACAAATGCAAGCCTTGCAGCATTGTAACTCAAATTTGGTTTTCAGAAAAAAGTTTAAATTGTTACATACTGTATTAGTTTTCTCCTGCTGCATAACAAACTGCCATAAACTTAGCAGCTCAAAACTATAGGCATTTTTTAGCTCACAGTTTCTGTGGGTCAGAGGCCCAGGGATGGTCTGACTGGGTTCTCTGCTCAGGGTCTCACAAGGCCAATCAAGGTGATGGCCAGGGCTGTGAAATCATGTGAAGCTTGAGATTTCTTATGTCTATAGGACCAAGGTTTCCAGATGTTTGCTGGCTGTCAGCTTCTCCCAGGAAGTAGGCGCTTCTTGCACTCCTTGCTACATGGACCTATCCATCTTTAAAGCCAGCAACAGACAGTTCCCCTTATGTTGAATTTCTCTCATGCTTCAAGTTTTGTCCTGGACCTCAACGTGCTGATTAAAGGGCTCATGAGTCTAGGTCAGGCTCATCTCCCTTTTTAAATTCCAGCTGTGTCATATAACATAACTTAATTACAAGAACGAAATCCCAATATGTTCATGATGTTAAGGATTATAAAGGTAATGGACAAACCACAGGGATGGGTCCCTTAGGAGATATCTTAGAATTATGCCTACTGCATATGTCAAAAGCCTTGAGGATTAATCAGTCAAAGCCTAGACCAAAGGGTCTACTATATTGGCATGAGATGCCAAGTCTTGGAGTTTATAAGACAGAAATTGACATATATTTTTGAAGCATTGTTCAGTTAGCCCATAAATTTATAATTTTAAAATATAAGGTTGTCTTTTCTATAGAGGAAATAAATTCTAAATCAGGCACAACCATGCTCTTGGCATTGAGAATAAGAAAACTGAAGAATCTGATCCCACCATTCTCTTTGTGCTTCATTTACCATGAATTTTTTCGTCAACTACTCTGTATGGGTGTGCTGTCAGTGTTCACTCAGAAAATGTCATACGGGATAAAAAATATCTGGAACAACTGACCTTAATTTATAAAGATGAGATAACTAAGCT